TGGATGAGTACAAGGCTGCTTTCATCAACCACTTCTACACCAAGCAAAGATCATTTCTGTAAGGAACAAGATCTCCAACTTTCGCCAAGCCAACAATGAATCTTTCTATGAGGCGCTAGACCGATTCAAGGAGTACATTAGGGACTGCCCTAATCATGGTTTCAATGAGGGAAACCTATGGAACATCTTCTATCGTGGCATAGACCACAAGTACAAGCTTTCATTGGACACTGCAAGCAATGGAAACTTCATGACCAAGACTGTTGATGAAGCTAAGGTTCTTATTGAGAATCTTGCAGCTAGTGATTGTAACAACTGTCCTGATTATGACCGCTCAAGCCGCACCACTACTAGCTCCCCTGATTCTTTTCAAATGACTGAACTCAAGAACATGATGGCTCAAGTTCTTAAGGGACAGCTCAAGCATATCAATGCAATAGAAGGGATGAGTGATGCTAATGAAGACCCATCAAGAGAATGCATGGGAGATTTCTCTAATGAAGCCAATGAAGAAGATGTGAACTACATTGGAAACTATGGGAACAAGGGATACAATCCAAGCTATCGCCCAAACCCCAACATGTCTTATAGAAACCCCAATGTGGAGAATCCTCAAGACCAAGTGTATCCTCCAAGGTATCCACAACAACAAAGACCTCCTTACCAATCTCAAGGAAGTCAATTTCAGCCAAGGCAAGGGTATGAGCAGAGATCATCATATCCGCCCAAGGAGCCATATGCTTCTTCACCAAATCAAGCTCCTCCAAACCAACAAGGTGGGAGATTTGAAGGAATCCTCCAACAGATCATGGATGGCCAGAAGAGAAACACTAAAGAGATGTATGAGAAGATGGACACTTTGTTCAGCAATCTCAACACCAAGTATGATGCTGTTGCCACTCATGTGAAGAAACTAGAGACTCAAGTCACTCAAACTATGGAAGCTGTTAAGAGACAGGAAGCTGAATCCAAGAAGTCCTTTTGCAACTCAGCCGCCATAGAAGAAAGATTTGAAGACCAAGTTCCAGAATGGATGCTTTCAAAACCTACTGTTGATTGCATGATTTGGCCTGAAGAGAATTACCCAGAGAGAGAGTCCAATCGAGCTAGAAAGAGAAGACTCTTCCCAAAGATTATCCCCAAGACAGATAACTCAGGAAAGTTTGTTGTGCCTTGTATCATCAAAGGTAACATTCTTGAGCAATCTTTGTGTGACACAGGAGCCAATGTGAACATCATGTCTAAGAGGATAGCTGACAAGATAGGCCTCACCAAGATAGAGCCATCATCCATCTCCATCAACTATGCTGATTCATTCTCACAAACCCCTATGGCTTTGTGCCTAATGTGATGGTGCAGATTGGAAATTGCTCTATCCCTACTGATTTCCAGATTGTGGAAATGAGAGAGAGTAGCCATAGACCTCTCATATTTGGAACCCCTTTCCTGTCTACTGTGGGTGCCATATTTGATTTCCCCAATCAAAGAATCTCTTTCAACAAGGTGAACAAGGGTATGTTCTTCCCTATGTGTTCAACAAAGAACTCTTTTGTTGACATGGTCCAAGAGGAGAAAGCTACTTTGAAGCCACCCCAAGAAGGAGAAACTGAAGAAACAATCAAGGAAGATCCCATTCCTAAGCCCAAGCAGCTTGCCAAACAAGCAAGGAGTAAGACTAAGGCCCCTACACCAAAACCGCCCAAGGGATCAACCAAGATTGAAGATGAGGCCAAGCCAAGAAGGAAGGTTAGAAAGCCTAGGTCTGGCCGCAACATGAAGCTTCTATTCCCAAAGGAGCTTATTGATGAGAATCTAGAAGGATTCAAGGAGAAAGTGACAAGAACTCTAAAGCTTTTTCCTAAGGCAGTAGTGCCAAGGGACATTCATGGAGAGATTGTCTATCCAGCTGTGAATCACCCACCAGATACTCATTGCAAGGAGAAAAGACTTGGAGGATCAAGGATGCCTCTTGTCTCCATCTTCTCCTGAGCGCCAAGCCTTACAGTCAAGCTAAAGACTTAAAACAAGCGCTGCATGGGAGGCAACCCATGAGGTACTTTTACTTTTCTTTCTTTTTTTCTTAGTTTTTGTTTTGCTTTTGTGTTTTCTTTGTTTTAAGATAGGATAGAAGGAGAAAAAGGTGTGAAAACACAATCCGCGCCAAAACATTGGCCGCGGACGCGCAAAAGTGAATTTTGGCCGAGCAAATTCCAATCTGGCCGACCGTACGGTCGAGCCGGGAAGGAAAAGCCGTGCTCGGCCGGATTCTACTTCGCGCGACAGAAACGTTCGCGCGGCACGCACGAACCGGGAAAGAACAGGCCGCGATCGGCCGATTCGTATCGGAACGGACCGACCGTGCCGGTCGATCCGGGAAACAACGCTCGGCCTCGGCCGAAATTCTCTCGCCACGAATTTGGCCGACCAAATCGCTCGACCGCGACAAAATCCATCGGCCACAAATTTTCTCGGCCAAGGTAAGTCCCCTTTTCATTTAATTCAAACCGGTTTTAACCAATCTAAACCAACTTAAACCGGTTTTCAATCAAAATTCGAATTTGAAAAGGAAAATTGATAGGATTAGATCTTATTTACTTCACCTTTCCCTTGAAAACCACAAGAACCTCTCTTTCTTCTCCAAAACCCTAAACTCCATTAGAGGAACTCTAAGAGTTTTGATTTCAAAACTTTTACTGTTCATAACTCTAAATTGGAATTTACTTGCTCTTGCAACCTTATTCACTTTTCAATACACAAGGTATGTCTTCTAACTCTAATCCTATGTTTATGCAAGATCGAAATTTCAATAAGTTTCATGTTTGGTCTAAACTCTTGTCTAGACTTGAAATTAGCATCCTTATTAGTCTTGTAATGAACTTGCTAGGTGGAACCTAGGTGGTTTAGAGTTAATTTGAAGTTTAATTTCACAATTGAATAGTTTTTCACAAAACTTATTGGGCATTCCAAACCCCTTATTCAAAGGTGAAATTGCTTAGGCATACTTCAATTCATTAGTTTATCTAGTGATTACTTGGATTAGAAACTCAATTTCTCTTGATTTGCTGAAAATTTCGATTTTAAGCACCATAATCTTGGATGAACAGTAAAATCCGAAAATTAACTTTGAAAAAGTGAAATTTCATTTTGTCTCTTTGATTCATGATTAAGCCTTGAGTTGTTCCATTATTCCATATCATTATTACAACTCAATTAGCTTATTCTTCTTTTGCATTAATCACAAACTCATATTTCTTCCCAAGAATTTGCTCTTGTAGGTACACAATGGCAAAGACAAAAGGAAATGAGAGTATGAAGAAGAAGAAGAACCCATTCATGGAACCACCAAAGAAACAAATCAAGCTAGGGAGTAGTAGCTCCAATGCAAGAGCAGCAATACCAACTTCACCACATTCCATTGATGCAATCAAGAACATGTGGAGAGTCCAAGAAGAGGAGAAGATGATTGGGCACTTGTAACCTTTGTTGGAGAACAAAATCAAGACCCAAGAAAGTGTAAGAAGGCAATGGAGAAGGTGAACATCGAGCCATGTGTGAAGATGGACACCCAAACCCTTGATCTTCTCAAGATAAGAGATGATGTCACATGGTACATAAGGAAGCTAGGCTTGAGCAAGCTCTTCAAGCTAGAGTGTAGTGAGTACTCACAACTCACCAAGGAGTTCCTCTCCACAGTAGCTCTTGCCTTTCCCAACCACAATGGAGACCAACCAGCTGGTGATGGACTCCTACTCTTCAAGATAGGCGATGCCAATGGGCGCATCTCCATCTCAGCTCTATGCCAACTCTTTGGACTTCCCAATGAGACAGCACATGACTTCAAGGAGAACTCAAAGAGGAAACAAGCTGCCTTTGCTGATTGGACACACTTTGCCAATGAACCATTCTTGCCTTCAAGGTCAAAGGTGTCTAGAATCACTCATCCAGCCATTCGCTATGTGCACCGCCTCATCTCCACCACTTTCCAATGCAAACAAGAAGCCAACAAGGTCACAACTGATGAGTTCTACATCCTCACCACACCATTCATCAAGCATGAGTACAAGGCCAACCTTGGACTTTTACTTGCCAAGACATTCATCAATGTGAGGAAGCTAGCTCAAGACTTGGAAGGCAACAAGAAGCTTTGTGTTCGTTTTGGGAGGCTTATCACGGCCATAGTACTGCATGTGGGGATTGACATTCCCAACTATGAGCCACTACCCAAGCCAACCCCTTTGGATCTCCATGCTCTTCAGCACATCCACTTCCTAAACCGTTGGACTAAAGACCCAACTCGGTTTTGCTATGAGTTTCCAATTGGTCCAGCCAACACTTCCCTTGTCTTGCTGCCACATGAAGACATCCCAAGCCTACGCTCAGGTGTTGTCACTTTCCAGCCCAATGAGGAAGACTTCTATGTTCCATCAAGTGAGAAACCATCATTCCCCATGCTCACCTATCGCACACTTCAGCATGCAGTCAAGACTCAACGCCGCCTCCAAGAACGCCATGTTCTCACTACTGGCATGGCCGCGCATCAAGCTCTAGACCGTGTTAACAAGCTGGAGAAGATAGTGGAATGCCAATCTCGCTTCATCTCACGCCTAGTTCGTGTAGTTCGCCACATTGCACCGGAGAGACTCTTTCGCCCTTCTTCCACCGCTAGAGAGCCATATGAGCCTGACCTTGGTGAGTTCTCACTAGACTCAGAGCTTGGTTCAGAAGGCGATGACCCCATAGATGAGGAAGAGAGTTCTTCTCACTGCCACACATAGTCATCTCAAGTGGTACTTAGTGCAATGGACACTTACAAATCTCCATTTTCTATCCCTATCTTATTTTAATGAATTTTTCTTTATTTTTCTTTTACTTTGAATATTACCTCTCACCTTAATGTGATTTGCTTTCACCGGGACGGTGCAAGTTAAGTCTGGGGGGAGTTTTATTGTGTTACTAATGCATTTTTCTTTCTTTTCTTATGTTTTATTCACTTTGTTTCATGTTTTTCAAAAAGTTTTATTGAGTCAAAAACCAGTCCGGAAGTTATGAACTTGCTTTGAGAATTGAGAGTGTTATGCTAACAATCCATGACCCTAGAGCAGAAACCAGCTAAAGGCACAAGCCTAACAGAAGCTCTTACAGTGGATCGACATGCTAGCTCAGCAAAATTTCTAAGGTAACCAAGCAATCTAGAGTTAACCTCACCTTAATCAATCTTAATTACTCTTGTCAAGGGGGTTGGCATACATGTCGACAGTTCCTTGCTTGATTTTCAATAAGATTTGTCTAATCTTTAAAGAGTTCTCCTCTCTCTCCCATCCCAAATGGTAAGTAATGTTATGAGAAAAAGCTCAAAGAGCACAAGGAAAACAAGTAAGCATGAGGAATGCATATGTCTGTACCTTCATGTCTTATGGAATACCTTAGTCAAACAAGGAACAAGCTAAAGACTTATCCTGTGGTTGAAAGAAGGGTCAATAGAAAAAATAAAATGATACCCTAGAAAAGTAGGGAGAAATTGACCTTTCAAAGTTCTGATGTGAGAAAGAGAGAGGAAAAGAACTCATTGCACTTGCAATCTTGGAGAGGATCAAGTGGGTAAGAACAAGTTCAATTGATCGATGTCCCCTTGATAAAGAATTCACGCTTTAAATTTATGCAAGAGGTTAGCAATAGAGAGTTTGGATTGCTGGATGAGACTAGTTGGGTTGGTATTGTTCGCTAAACTTGCAGGGTGTATGTGAAGCTAACCTTATGTTGTCTATGTTCATAGTGGAATACAGGAAAGGAACCTTTCACAGGATATTCAAAAGAGCAAGGGAGCTTCCACGTTTTCAAACCTCTTTCACGGATTTAGATTCTTTTTGCTTGAGGACAAGCAAAGATCTAAGTCTGGGGGAGTTGATATACCTCTAATTTACCCACTTTTTATACTGTTTTAGCATTGTTTTCTAATGGTTTTTGGCAGGTTTTCTATCTAAAAAGGTAGTTTTACTGTGTTTATAGTGTCTAGAGTCTAAACAGGTGAAATGATGCATTTTGGAGCAAAACCATAGGATTTGCACTTCAAGCCGCTCCATGCACAAGCACCAACTTTAAGAGGGCCCAGAAAAAGATCTACTCAATGGATTTCATCAAGACCAGTTCCCTGCGTGCTCTGATTGAGTTAACTTTCCAACGCAACTGGAATGGCCTAATTTGGATGAGTAGAAAAGGAGTTATACCAAAAGAGTGAAGACTGTCCAGACGGCTCTATCGAGAATCAGCGCCCAACCGCGCAGTCCGGCTGGCCGAGGAACGAATGTTCCGCGCTCGGCCAAAGTATCCGTCCGTCTGAAGTCTCGGCCAAAGTCCAAACCGCCGGCCGATCACGCATCACGACCCGGGAAACTGTCCCGCGGTCGGCCACGCACAACCCACGCCACGCCGCGCACGACCAGCGCGCGAGCCGGGAAAACGCCTCGCGGCCGCGCAACTCTCGCGTACCACGGCCGATGCTCCGTCCGAGCCGGGAACTAGTCCCGCGTCCGGCCGAGAATTTCATCGGCCAAATCATCCGTCGACCACGCCGGCCGACCGTGAATCCGTCCGGCCACGACCGTTCCGACTCGGCCACGACCCGACTGTCCGGCCGATCGTCCCGACCGACCGTCCCAACGCCGCGGTCGACCCGAAGCCCGTTTTGAAGCCCATTTCATATTTTCAAGCCCGGCTTAACCCTAAGCCGCCTCAAAAGACCTAGCACTATATATATAGCTTTTTAGCCTCTTGTGAAAAGAGAGCCGCCCTTGTATTTCGATTTCCTACTCTAAGTTTTATTGCAATCATGTTTTCTTCATCTCTATGTGTGTTTGCTTTGATCATGTCTGAGTAATCCACTAGTTAGGTTGCTAGGGTTACTATTCAATGAGTTGCTTGCATGATCTTTGATTTCAATGATTAGCTAGGGATTATATTAGAGTCTTTGTCTCGTCTTGTGCACTTAACTAATGCTGATTGCTTTACCGCGCATCTAGTAATCCGATCTTAGGTTGATTTGAGCCTCGACAGTGCTGTATCATTCGCCGGACATATTCTTTGACAAGCTAGGTTTCTTAGACTGCGAAAGTTGATCTACTATATCTAGTGAACTGTATCAGAACCTATTCATTCTAAAGCTTGATTTAATCACCTAGGGACATACCAAAAGTTTAGCGACTAGGTAGATTAACAAAGGAGCCGGAGCCTCGAAAGTGGAATGGTTTTATATTCGTGATCTGTGTTCTAGACGGTTCTTAATATCCCAATATCCCTAATCAATTCATCTATCATTGTTTCATTGATCATTGCTTGCTTCTCTGCGATAGCCCCTATGACCTAGCGCTTTTCCTTTATTGATTTACAACCTCGTTATACTTGCTAGTTCGGTTCACCATTACAACCTCAATCATACTTTTGTTTTAGCTTGATCCAAAATCCATAGTTTCAAAGTGTACTCAATAGCCAGTCCTTGTGTTCGATACCCATACTTCCGCGATCTGTGCACTTGCAGAGGTCTAGGAGTTTGGTAAAACCTGACTCCACATCAGTCCACTACACCATCAGCTTGCCCTTGAAGCAATTGTTTCAGCATTGCTTGAGCTCATTCTCTTGCGTAGGTGCAGGCTGGGGTGGTTGGTGGGGAAAGCCAGGTGGTATTCATTTGTTGTCCAGGGAAAGTCCCTTGGGGTCCTTGGTAATTGTTCTTTTGACCATACCCATGTTGTGGGGCTTGACTCGATCGAGCTGCTTGTTGTTGAGGATAGACCTGGTCCTGAGGGTTAGCAACATCAGTGTTTCGGTATGACATGGCAGGGTTGGACTTGTAATTATAGTATCCTTTGTTGTAACCTCCTTGCCCATTGCTCATGTAACACACCTCAGCAAATTGTGTATCCTCCCCTTCTTGGACTGTTCCATCTCTTCAGCAGACACAAAGTTGACTTTCTTCATAGTGGACTGAGCTAGATCAGCTTATCCAACTTCTCATTCAATGCCTTAACATCTTTTCTCAATTTCTCGTCTGACTCGATCGAGTGGTGGGTCGAGCTCCGATTGGTGCGATCATACTCTTCTCCATAGCTTCCATTGGAGTTTGCAATGTTCTCTACATCTTGGTTGAGGAAGTTCCCATTGCTAGCTGTGTCTAGCATCTCCCTATACCTTGCAAGCATCCTCTATAAAGAGTGGAGAGTAGTGATTCATTGTTGAATCCATGATGTGGGCACTGACTTGTGTAGCCTTTGAACCTCTCCCAAGCCTCAGCGAATGTCTCATTGTTTCGCTGGATGAAGCTCGATATCTCGCTCCTAAGCTTGGCTGTGCGACCGGTGGAGAAAAACTTAGCAAGAAAGGCCTTCTTGCATTCATCCCAAGTGGTGATTGTGCCATGGGGCAAGCTCTTCTCCCATTGGTGAGCTTTGTCAGCTAGAGACATAGGAAAGAGTCTCAGCTTGATGGCATCTTCAGAGACACCATTGATCTTTGTCAAATCGCAAAGCCTATCAAACTCATCAAGGTGGTCAATGGGGTCTTCACTTGGCAATCCATGGAACATCTTGTTCTGAACAAGGTTGATCATTCCCAGCTTGATCTCAAAGTTGTGGTTCTGCACTGGTGGTGGAACAATCCCTTGTCTCTGTTGGTGGCGGTTTGGAGCATCTCCTAGACCAATCGGTCGAGTTTGCCTAGCTCGACCGAGTCCATTGCCCAAAGGGTTTCCATTCCCCTCTGGTACGTCCATTGTATCAGCAACAAGCACCTCAGGTTCCTCTTGTACCCTCTGTGACCTCTGAACCCTCTTTCTACCCGTTGTAAGTCTAGCTCGACCAAGTCTTCTGTAGACCGACTCGATCGAGTTCGCATACACCTGCAAAAAGAGACAAAAACCCAGCAGTACAAAGAACAGGGGTGGTATAGCTTGATCGTCCAAGTGTATTTGAAACTCAAATGCAACAAAATAATCCCAAATCGGCAACGGCGCCAAATTGATGATAGGATTTGTGTGTGGGTGTGAAAGATATGAAATGAGATGTGGTGGAATGCAACAGTGGTATATGATGAGGTGGTAAGATGCAAACACAAACACAGTCAACAATTCCAGGGACGCCAGGAGAGGGCAGGCGGCCGCCAGGGACGCTCCACTCGGCCGGGTTCACGTCGCTCGATCGAGCTTGCTCTTGGCTCGATCGAGTTGTGCCTCGAGTTGGTTGCCACTTTCCTTCCTAAAACCTGTTCCTGCAAGACTTAGCTGAGAAAAACGCAGAGATAAAAGATAAAGATAAATGTACAAGATAGACATGGGAATTCCTCCCAAGTGAGCTTGTTTTAGGTCTCATAGCTTGACCTTAAACCTTTTAGGCCAGGGGTTGGATCTTGAAGAGGAGTGATGATCTCCTCTGTGGGGGTCATTCCTAGGTAGGGCTTGCATCTATGCCCATTTCACTGTGAATTCTTTCCCCTCTTGGTTGAGCAGAGTGAGTGACCCGTAGGGTAGAACTTCGTATCTTGAATGGCCCGACCACTTTGACCTCAACTTCCCGGGAAACAACCTTTTGGAGTTAAACAAGAGCACACTGTCCCCAACCTTGAAGTCTTTTAGGCGAATCAGTTTGTCGTGGGCTGCCTTGGTTCTCATCTTGTAGATCATGGAGTTCTCATAGGCATTCATTCTGATTTCCTTCCAACTCAAACAAGTTCATTACCCTCCTTTCTTGTGCTGCCTTTATGTCAAAGTTCAGCATCTTTACTGCCCATAAAGCCTTGTATTCGACCTCCACAGGCAAGTGGCAATCCTTCCCATATAGCAAATTGAAAGGAGACCTTCCAATGGGGGTTTTGTAAGCTGTTCTATAAGCCCAAAGTGCTTCATCAAGCCTTGTTGACCAATCCTTTCTAGTGAAGCTCACAGTCTTCTCCAATATAGCCTTAATCTGTCTGTTGGAGACTTCAACTTGCCCACTGGTTTGAGGGTGATAGGGCGTGGCAACCTTGTGCTTGACTCCATACTCTTCATCAACTTCTCAAACACCTTGTTGATGAAAGTGGGAACCTCCATCCGAAATAACAACCCTTGGGATGCCATATCTTGGAAAGATGATGGTTCTGAACAGTTTGATAACAACCTTAGCATCACAGGCTGGGCAGGGGATGGCTTCAATCCATTTGGACACATAGTCCACAGCAACCAAAATGTAGTTGTGCCCGTTTGAGGAGGTTTGAAAGGTCCCATGAAGTCTATTCCCCATACATCAAAGATCTCAACTTCTAGAATTGGGTTTAGTGGCATTTCATCCCTCTTGGTGATCCCTCCTTTCCTTTGGCATGGATCACACTTGGCGATGTAACTTGCTGCATCCTTGAACAAAGTAGGCCACCATAAACCAGATTGCAAAACCTTAGTTGCGGTTTTGAATGTGGCAAAGTGCCCTCCATAAGCAGACCCATGGCATTGCTCAAGAACTCCTTGTACATCTTCTTCAGCTATGCATCTCCTGTAAATGCTTGTACAAGTAAGGCTCATCCCAATAGTAGTGCCTAGCATCCTTGAAGAACTTCTTCCTCTTGTAAGCATCAAAACTACTAGGGACTTCTCCAGACACCATGAAGTTCACTATATCAGCATACCAGGCAAATTCTCATCACGCAGAGCCTTAACTTCTTCCAGCCTGACTTTCTCATCAAAACTCTCTTTCAAGATCATGATTGCCATAAGCTGTTCTTCAGGCATAGAATCATTGATGGGGACTATGTCTTCAACTCGCATCCTAGAGAGATGATCAGCAACTCCATTCTCTACTCCCTTTTTGTCCACAACTTCTATGTCAAACTCTTGAAGCAAAAGGATCCATCTGAGAAGTCTTGGCTTTGTATCTTTTTAGCAAAGATGTGCCTAAGGGCAGCATGGTCAGTGTGCACAATCACCTTGGACCCAACTATATAGCTTCGAAATTTCTCAAAGGCAAAGACGATGGCAAGGAGCTCCTTCTCTGTGGTTGCATACTTGCATTGAGCATCATCCATAGTCTTGCTTGCATAGTAGATGACATTGAGTTTCTTGTCTATCTTTTGGCCAAGCACTGCTCCTACTGCATAGTCAGATGCATCACACATAATCTCAAATGGGTAATCCCAGTTTGGAGCTTGAACTATTGGGGCAGATACCAGAGCATCCTTCAGCAAGGTCCAAGACTTGTGGCATTTGATGATAGGATTTGTGTGTGGTGTGAAATGATATGAAATGAGATGTGGTGGAATGCAACAGTGGTATATGATGAGGTGGTAAGATGCAAACACAAACACAGTCAACAATTCCCTTTAACCATGATAGTTGTATAGCATAAAGGGTATCAATCCAAAATGGGAGAATTGTTACTCTATGAGAATATGAAATCACAAGAAAGTCAAGCAAGCAGTAAGATAAGGGGTAACACTAACAACCTAAATGAAACAGAAATGCAATGCAAAAGTAAAAAAGCAGTAAGCAACAGCTCGACCAAGGACTCGAGTCGAGTTGGAACAGAGTACCGAGCTCGATCGAGTTTAGGGTCGAGTTGAAGTAAAAAGCAATAAAGGCAGCGACTTTAACAAGCTAATGCGAAAATAGGGTCTAAGACAGGGTTTTACAATCAGAGGAAGGCTATACTTAATCATCTTGCTCTTCAAACAACTTGTATCAAGGTATCTCTTGATATTGAGCTTCTCAATGCCTAGCTAACCCTTTCCCAAGGTGAAAGCTATCAACCAAGGACTTGATCTCAGAAACAGGGGGTTAGCCAGTGAGAATCAAGCCTTGGAGGCCATAGGATCATTGCCCAAACTAATCCATCCAACCCCTATGAACTCCATTTCTAGAGCAAGAGTTATTGGAGCTCTTAGTGGACCTTTTCCAACGATTTCCATCACTTCCATGTGGAGAATCGCCTATGGACATACAAGCCAGGGATAGTGGTCATGTAGCCTTAAGGTTTGTCCAAAAGAGAGAGATTTCTAGATTAAGAACATAAGCAAGAAGGATTAAGCATAAAACCCCTAATCTATCCCATCTCAAACCCTAATGGGTAACTACTCACTACACATGATGAAATAAACAACCAAATGCATTGAAATAAACATCAAATGAAAGAGGAGATAAAGATAAACAACTTTTATTGAAATAAGCAAGTGCAAATACAAAAAGATTATCCAGGATCTAGGATTCAAGAAGCAAGAGCTTCAAGAACACAAAGATGGATTAGAGCTCTAAAAAGTAAAAGACAATAATTAAAAGAAAGCTAAAACAAAAGTAATCTAAAGCTTGGTGGTTTTTTCGTGGCTAAGAGCCTTTAAATACAAAGAGGATTAGGTTTAGGGTCAAAGGGAAATCAAGGGGGAAGCAACATTTTTCGGGTTTGACTGTTGACTTCTCAGCTCGATCGAGTTGAAGCTTGGCCGGTCGAGTTGGTGAACTGATGTGGAGTCAGGTTTTACCAAACTCCTAGACCTCTGCAAGTGCACAGATCGCGGAAGTATGGTTATCGAACACAAGGACTGGCTATTGAGTACACTTTGAAACTATGGATTTTGGATCAAGGTAATACAAAAGTATGGTTTGAGGTTGTAAGATGAAAATAAATGAAATTTTTTTTGGATTTTTTGAAAATTTTATGATTTTTTTGGTTTTTCTATGCAAATAAGAGAATGAAAAACTAAGAACAAAGAAAACAAGGTTAAATCATCTCTTGAACCCTCCCCCAAACTTAAATCACACAGTCCCTTGTGTGAGAGAAATTTAGTGAAAGATTCAAGAGGCAAAAACCAAGAGAAATAAAAGCAAATGCAAGAAATATGAAATGGCATGTACAATGGTTGGTGTTTGATACCTCAGTGCCCCCCAAAGATCTGGGAGGCAAGGTCGTGGTCAGGAGAGGGCAGGCGGCCGTCAGGGACGCTCCACTCGGCCGGGTTCACGTCGCTCGATCGAGCTTACGGCTCCTCCTCTTCTTCTTCTTCTTCATTGAAGTGTGTGTGGCTTCCTTGGCCTTGGTGGAGCTGTGCGCGCTCGAAACGGTTGTAGGGAGTCCAGTGGCTCTGAGGGAAGGGCGTTGGATCGTACTCGAATCCAGGGTTCTCAAACAGAGGCTCCTCCAGGTCAACTCGACCCTCAGCTCGGTCAAGCTCACTGATCGAGTTGGAGCGTCGGCTCTTGGAACTCTTCCTCCGCCTCTGCGTGTTGTTTCTTCCTTCCCTAGTCTCGAATGAAGAGGCTCTGTGAGGCTCTTGGGCAGGGAGTCTCCTTGGGGTGGTAAGGAGTGATCTACTTCTAGGGAAAGTAGGGGCCATGGTTGCCTTCTTCTTCTTGGATGAAGAACTATAGACCTTCTTCTCCAAACTCTTGATCTTGCTCACCATCTTATCCATGGACTTTTGCATCTTGTCCATGGCTTTCCCTTGCCACTTATTGAACCTTTGGAGAAGTCCAATCCTCTTGTGGGCAGCCACAACAGAGGGGTTCATCCTTGGAGCCTCATAGTCCTCAAAATTATAGCACTCGGGCTCACCCAAATCCGCATTCACTTAAGGTGCCTTGATGATAGGAGTGTGTGGGTGTGAAATGATATGAAATGAGATGTGGTGGAATGCAACAGTGGTATATGATGAGGTGGTAAGATGCAAACACAAACACAGTCAACAATTCCCTTTAACCATGATAGTTGTTATAGTAAAGGGTTATCAATCCAAAATGGGAAACTTGTCACTCTATGAGAATATGAAACAACAAGGAAGTCAAGCAAGCAGTAATAGATTTGAAGTAACACTAACAACCTAAATGAAAAAAATGCAATGCAAAAGTAAACAAAGCAGTAAGCAACAGCTCGACCAAGGACTCGAGTCGAGTGGAACAGAGTACCGAGCTCGATCGAGTTTAGGGTCGAGTTGAAGTAAAAAGCAATAAAGGCACGACTTTAACAAGCTAAAGAGAGAATTAGGGTTCAAGACAGGGTTTTGCAATCAAGGAATCTACACTTAATCAATCTGCTCTTAAAACTCCTTGTATCAAGGCTTCTCTTGATATTGGGCTTCTCAATGCCTAGCCAACCCTTTCCCAAGGTGAAGGCTATCAACCAAGGAATGATCTCAGAAACAGGGGGTTAGCCAGTGAGAATCAAACCTTGGAGGCCATAGGATCATTGCCCAAACTAATCCATCCAACCCCTTAGACCTCTATTTCTAGAGCAAGAGATATTGGAGCTCTTAGTGGATCTTTTCCAGCGATTTCCATCACTTCCGTGTGGAGAATCGCCTAAGGACTTACAAGCCAGGGGTAGTGGTCATGTAGCCTTAAGATTATCCAAAAGAGAGAGAATCTAGATTAAGACCATAAGCTAGAAGGATTAAGCATATGAAACCTCTAATCTATCCCATCTCAAACCCTAATGGGTAACTACTCACTACACATGAATGTAAACACAAGCAAATGCAATAAAAGAGACATCATAAGAAAGAGGAGATGAAATTAAACAACTTTTATTGAAATAAGCAAGTGCAAATACAAAGAGATTATCCAGGATCTAGGATTCAAGAAGCAAGAGCTTCAAGAACACAAAGATGGGATTAGAGCTCTCAAAAGTAAAAGACAAAATTAAAAGAAACTAAAACAAAAGTAATCTAAAGCTTGGTGGTTTTTTCGTGGCTTTTAGCCTTTAAATACAAGAGGATTAGGTTTAGGGTCAAAGGAAAGTCAAGGGGGAAGCAACATTTTTCGGGTTTGACTTTGACTTCTCAGCTCGATCGAGTTGAAGCTTGGCCGGTCGAGTTGAGGAACTCGACCGGTTGGTCGAGTAGACGGTCGAGCTGGTCTTCAAGATGGCTTCTCCTTCTTCCTTTGCGTATCCAGTTGAGCTGCGTCCATGTGCCAAGTCCCTCCATGCTCCTCGTCCCATATGCTCCAGAATGCTCCAAAAGACCTATTTCAAAGGACCAAACATGCATATGTATGCAAATGCAACCTAAAACTACATGAATGCATAAGAAGAGAAAAGGAACAAGATATGATGCTAATGGATGCTAAAACTATGCAAAAGATGCATAAAAGATGTACTAAAACTATGTAAAATGCAAGTACATCAACACCCCCAAACTTGAACTTTGCTTGCCCTCAAGCAAACAAATAGAACAAGAAAGAGATGAGGTTTGAAAACAGTGATTCAACACTTAAAAACATGTCCTCAAAAGCGATTTGCTAAATGTCCAACTTAGAGATTCTAGAATGCAACAAGGTGAGAGATATTCATTAAGATTTAACCATGCTTATCAACATCAATCCCACTTCACAGTCACTCAAACAATGCATTCAAATCAGCAAATCCCTTTAACATTCATTAAGCAAAAACAGTGAACCAAAAACATGCAAGATCAATCAACTCATTTGGTTTCAAGGGTTTATGGGTTAAGAGACAAAGAGGGTCTCTTTTGTATGGTGGTTTAGTAACAGGGATCTCTCAAGAAAGTGGCTTTGCTTTGGCAGAAGGCTAAGTGTTAGAACCAAAGATGATGCAAGAACAGCAGCTCGAGCCGCCTAATCCTAACTCGATCGAGTTCAACACTTAGAGCTTTTTAGAACAAAATCCTAACTACCCTTTTTGGCATTTCGCCTTTGAAACTGAGGAGCTTTGCTCACTTTTCTTTTAAGAACTTCCTAGGGAGAGGCTTCTTGAGGTAACATCTAGCGGTTTGGGATTTTCTAAACACTTAGGGAACTTTTCTTTCCTTTTTGACACTTGAGGCTTTGCCTTCTTTTCATTCTACTTAGAACCCTTTTTACTTCCTTTTTTAACTTCCCAAACCTTTACTAGACCCTTTTTACACTGCCAACTCCCTGGACTTAACTAAACTCTTTTTCCTTTGGATTTTCCCAACTTTTACCACTTTTCTGGTTTTTACACCCAACTCGATCGAGCTCGAGTTGGCACCCCCAAACTTAGCCTGAAAACAATCCCAAGAGAACTAGACAACTAGAACTACTGCCCCTGCCGGTTTAAACACAACACCTTATGCTAAGCAAAGCCAAGAAAGGTTCTCACATCGCACAAGAGATAATAATGGGGTTTGAAATGAAAAGGCTTAGGTTTAAGGTGTGGTAACTGTCTCAAAGATAGAGATCAGCTATCTGGACAAGCAAAAGGGATATGAAAAGGTAAAGAATGTCCAGATATGTATGTGGTAGCCATGAGTTGAAATCAAATGCAAGCATTGGTAATTAAAGATCAAGTTATGGTTCAAATAGATAGGGAAATGCATCAAATCACAGCAATGGTTGAATGAGATGTGCATGCAGTGATATGATCAAGATAAACATGGTTCTTGCTGCTCAATCAATCTCACCCTAATGCACAAAAGAATCTAAAAACAGGGCACTCAAGAAATCGCAAAAGATGGACAAGTTTTCAAAGTCAAATCAACAATGCAAGTGAAAGATGCAATCCTAAACAAGTCTAACAAATATGAATGCAAAAAGATGAAAATATTTTTGGATTTTTTGAAAATTTTATGATTTTTTTGGTTTTTCTATGCAAAAGAATGAAAAACTAAGAACAAAGAAAACAAGGTTAAATCATCTCTTGAACCCTCCCCCAAACTTAAATCACACAGTCCCTTGTGTGAGAAAAATTTAGTGAAAGATTCAAGAGGGCAAAACCAAGAAAAAAAAGAACAAAGAAAATATGAAATGGTATATACAAGGGTTGGTGTTTGGATACCTCAGTGCCCCCCAAAGAACTGGGAGGCTAGGTCGTGGTCTGGAGAGGGAGACGGCCATCAGGAGCACTCCACTCGACTGGGTTCCTCACTCGATCGAGCTTGCGGCTCCTCTCTTCCTCTTCTTCATCAAAGTGTGTGTGGCTCCTTGGCCTTGGTGGAGCTGGCTGCTCGAAGCTGTAGGGGTCCATGGTCTGAGAGAAGTCCTGGTAGGCGTTGGATCGTACTCGAATCCAGGGTTCTCAAACAGGGGCTCCTCCAGGTCAACTCGACCTCAGCTCGATCGAGTTGAGTTTCCTCTGTTTGGACTCGATCGAGTCCGGTGGTCGAGCTGGAGCGTCTGGCCTTAGAGCTCTGTGAGGCTCTTGGGCAGGGAGCCTCCTTGGAGTGGTGAGGAGTGATCTACTCCTAGGGAAAGTGGGGGCCTTGGACTTCTTCTTCTTGCTTGAAGAACCAGAAACCTTCTTCTCCAAACTCTTGATCTTGCTCACCATCTTGTCCATGGACTTTTGCATCTTCCATGGCTTTCCCTTGCCATTTGTTGAACTTTTGGAGAAGTCCAATCCTCTTGTGGGCAGCCACAACAGAGGGGTTCATCCTTGGAGCCTCATACTCCTCAAAGTAGTAGCACTCAGGCTCACCCAAATCGCGCTCTCCTGGACTCGATCCTCAGCTTGAGACTCAGCTCGATCCTCAGCTCGATCGAGCTCAGGCTCCTCTTCTCGCAAATCATCCTCATGCCCAACTAATGTGTACACAGGGGGTCTGAAGTCAATGTTCTCACCCCTGACTACTGTGGTGAGCTCTGGGTTGGGCAGGAGAAGCTTGGAGGGCCAGCCAATGGATGTGTGAACTTGAATTGGAACCTCCCATCCAACTCCTTGTGCTCAATGAGGAGGTTGGTCTTGCAAAACTTGATGTCCATCCAACCCTGGAGTAGCCTCTCTTGTCATGACTCCAGCTGCACACAAGATAGGTGTGATGACCCTCCAACACTAAGCTTTCTTCCTGTTTGATCTAGTGTTGTAGGCTGTGATCTTGTAGGGAGGAGCTGTCAAGGAGAGGCATGAGTTCCCTGCATGTGCCCTATCTCCTCTGATCTTCTTCCCATCCTTGTGCGTGAGATGATGGGCTTGATTCCCATGTCAAGGAGCTTCACTTCCCTCATTGATTGTCCCAGTGCCTTCCTTGCAAAGAAGGTGTTGGCAAGAGCCTTGTGCACATATCTCAAGCACTGGGCTCCTGATCTGAGCAGCCTTGGACCTTGAGGAAGAGTACCTCTTCAGCGATTGTAGCCCAAACCCTTTGGAGTTCTTTTCCTTGAGTTCCATGGTTCCCTCTCCATAGTGAACCCAAACAGATCTCAAGCTGCCTAAAGGTCACCATCTTCTTCTCTCCCTTTGCCAAGAACGTGATCCATCCCAATCCTTGGTCCAACTCAGCTCGATCGAGCTCCATACTGTGTACCTCATTGAGCCAAAGAACTCACAAGTGAGCTCCTTGTAGGACTCCATGCGGTAAGAGAAGAACTTGGCCAAGTGCATGTTCTTGAGACCAACTCCACATCTCAAAGATCCAAGGGCCTTCATGTGTCATCATGTGGGTACTTGGTCTCCACAAAGTCCATGGAGAAGAGAGCATTGTAGTGCTCTTGGTACATGGGGAGCTCATCCTCTTCCTCTGATTCAGCCTCCTCCATGGCACATTCTCATTGCTCTCATGCTCACTTCCTCAATCTCTTGATTGACCTCTTCTCCTTCCTCTTCACTCTCAGTCTCATCACTCCTTCTTCACTTGGAGAGCCATTCCCTCCTCTTGAACAAGGTTCACTCCAATCTCAAACTCTCCTTGCTCACTCTCACTACTAATGGGGTCATTCCTCTTCTTGGTTCTCCTTTCCTCCCTCAATCTCTCTCTCAGACTGCTCCTCAGAGTACATGTCCTCTGCATCAGACTCTTCTTGCCATTCTCTCTCTCATCACTCTCCAACCTTCATCTTGGACACCTTCTCTCATTCTTCTTGCTTCTCTGCCATTCTTCTTGAAGCACTTGGCTTCCCTCACCTCTCAACATCTTGAAGTTGGGTTCCTGAAATGCATCAAAATTCAAAGAATTAGAGTTGTAATGATCGGTTTGGTCAACTCGACACTCAGCTCGATCGAGTCAAAAAACTCGAGTGACAAACTCGATCGAGTAGGTGAAAACAGAGTATAACCAAACCTAATTCAAATTAAGAGCTGGAAAGGATGCTAATCAATCAAATTGAACCAAGAACAACTAGTAAATGGAACAATGAGCAATTCTAGTGAAAACTAAGCATCTTAACCAATACCAAACTCAAATTCAATTTTCAAGCACATGCAACAAGTTTAAGGCAAAACAGAGGTGAGGTGAGGCAAATTCACAAGATTATACAGAGAATATGAAAGCAATTACTCAAGAACAAGTCCACAAGGGACACATGCAATCAAAAATCAAAGAGAAACAAGCAATAAGAGAATCGAGATGAAGGATCAAGGGTTTTAGGGTTCATACCTTGCTTGTGATGAATTGAAGAACAGAAACTAGAACAAGCAAAACAATGAAGAACAAGAGAAATCGCAAAAACTTAAGAGAGAAAGAGGAAAATCGATTTTTCTTGTGGTGAAGAGAGAGAGGATGATTTCAGAAATTTAGTGTGGGAGAGGAGAGGGGATTCGATCGAGTTATGGGGAAGGGAGTGTTTGAGATGTGTGGTTGAGATTAAAAGGTGAAATAAAGGGGAACAAAAGCTAGGGTTTTTCTGATCAATTAGGGTAGTGGGGGACCAAAATCAGCTTGTGGGACCCACTCCCTTGACCAAGAAAACGGTTAGAATTTGAAATTCAAAAACTTACCTTGGTCGAGTTGAGGAACTCGATCGAGTTGCCCTGGTTTCTAGCTCGATCGAGCTGTCGGTCGAGCTGGCTCCTTTGACACCTAAACTTAACTTATTGAAAGGTTAAAACATAAAGATAGATAGAAATTGCATAAATAGAGTATGTACAAGGATAAACATGGGACTTCCTCCCAAGTGAGCTTGTTTAAGGTCCCATAGCTTGACCTTTACCTTCTTAGGCATTGGTTGAGCTAGTCCCACCATCAAGGGTGATAGTGAGGACTTGAGACAGAAGCTCCTTTAGCTTGGTTGGGTCCCTGGACTGTTCTGAAGTCACCAAGGCCTTGGCTCTAGAGAATGGCCTTGATCTCCCCTTGTACCTTATCTTGTACTCAATCTTCCCATTTTCAAACTTGGTGGGGAACAAAGTCATTGTGAGCTGAGATGGCTTGACTGAAGGGGCCTGAGCTGGTGGATCCTTTCTTTTATCACCTGGTCTTGCCTTAGAGGCTACATCCTCCCCTTCTTTTAGAGCCCTTCCTAGTGGCTCATCAAACAAAGCTTGAAGGCTCTCTTCATCAAGCACACAAGGGGCTTGAACAAGTCGATCAGCTCTGGCCTATCAGATCGTGGTTTCTCAACTCTAGCCCTCTCAAGACGTGGCTTCTCAATCCTTGGTCCTCTCTCATCCTTATCCTTCCCAACTCTTGGTTCTTGTCAACCCTTTCCTTCACAACCTTTGTAGCTCCATGACTCTTAGAACTGAGAGTGGTACTGTCAATTGTGGCACAAAAGTCTGAACCTCTAGGCTGCAAGCGATATGACACCAAACTATTCACCTTGTGAAGGATCACTTCTTGCTTGTGAAAGTCTATTGAAGCGCCAACTGTACTAAGGAAAGGGGTTCCCAATAACAGAGGTAATCCTTCTCTTCTTCCATTTCCATCACAGTGAGATCAGTTTGGATGATGCATTCTCCAATTTTCAAGTGATAGTTCTTGAACACTCCAAGAGGAGACTTAGAAGTTGCATCTCCAAACATGATTGAAGTAGTAGGGCGCTGCAAGGCTCCAGCAATGCCAAGATAAGTGTGCAAGGGAGAGTGAATTTCCCTTGATCCTTGACCTTTGGTAGGAAGGTGGGTGAAGTAAGCAGGTTGAACTGATGAGTAGACTCTTGTAGGACCTCTGAAACTTTATCACTGTTGGCTAGAACATCCTTGACCATTTGCATTTGATCAAATGCCTCACTCATGCTATCCATAGGAGGCAACTCAATTCCAATCCCACTGAGATCTCTTCTGAACTTGTGAATCACTTCCTTGTGACCTTGACTAAGTAGGCGAGACGAGGAAGCGGCAACCGGTTGGTAAGGATCAAGCAAAACAGGTTGGACAGAAGAGGTCGGACTCGATCGAGCTAGAGTTGGACTCGATCGAGCTGCCGATCGAGCTTGTTGTGCGAGCTCAACTGGTGAAGTGTGAATGGCCACAGTAGGTGCCTGCACTTCTGGTTGATCAATCTGGACTCCAGGAGCCTCAGCAGCAACAATCTCTTCATCATTCAGCAGTAAACAAAAATCTTCAATGACCCTTTCTTGATCCTCTTCTTCAACAAGTCCTTCTTGAGTGAAGATGACCTTGCACTGTTCCTTGGGGTTCTGAATAGCTTTACCAGGTAGTTGTCCTTGCTTTGTAGCAGCAGCAACAGAAGAAGCATGATTCTCCAGAGAGTAAACCCTTGTGTTGAGGTTCTCGATCTTAGAGTTTATTTCAGCTAGCTTCTTGCTTGTGTCCATGATATACCTCTAATTTACCCACTTTTTATACTGTTTTAGCATTGTTTTCTAATGGTTTTTGGCAGGTTTTCTATCTAAAAAGGTAGTTTTACTGTGTTTATAGTGTCTAGAGTCTAAACAGGTGAAATGATGCATTTTGGAGCAAAACCATAGGATTTGCACTTCAAGCCGCTCCATGCACAAGCACCAACTTTAAGAGGGCCCAGAAAAAGATCTACTCAATGGATTTCATCAAGACCAGTTCCCTGCGTGCTCTGATTGAGTTAACTTTCCAACGCAACTGGAACGGCCTAATTTGGATGAGTAGAAAAGGAGTTATACCAAAAGAGTGAAGACTGTCCAGACGGCTCTATCGAGAAACAGCGCCCAACCGCGCAGTCCGGCTGGCCGAGGAACGATGTTCCGCGCTCGGCCAAAGTGTCCGTCCGTCTGAAGTCTCGGCCAAAGTCCAAAACCGCTCGGCCGATCACGCATCACGACCCGGGAAACTGCCCGCGGTCGGCCACGCCACAACCGCCACGCCACGCCGCGCACGACCAGCGCGCGAGCCGGGAAGTAACAGCCTCGCGGCCGCGCAACCTGTCTCGCGTACCACGGCCGATGCTCCGTCCGAGCCGGGGAACGTCCCGCGTCCGGCCGAAGATTTCATCGGCCAAATCTATCCGCTCGACCACGCCGGCCGACCGTGAATCCGTCCGGCCACGACCGTTCCGACTCGGCACGACTGTCCGGCCGATCGTCCCGACCGACCGTCCCAACGCCGCGGTCGACCCGAAGCCCGTTTTGAAGCCCATTTCATATTTTCAAGCCCGGCTTAACCCTAAGCCGCCTCAAAAGACCTAGCACTATATATATAGCTTTTTAGCCTCTTGTGAAAAGAGAGCCGCCCTTGTATTTCGATTTCCTACTCTAAGTTTTATTGCAATCATGTTTTCTTCATCTCTATGTGTGTTTGCTTTGATCATGTCTGAGTAATCCACTAGTTAGGTTGCTAGGGTTACTATTCAATGAGTTGCTTGCATGATCTTTGATTTCAATGATTAGCTAGGGATTATATTAGAGTCTTTGTCTCGTCTTGTGCACTTAACTAATGCTGATTGCTTTACCGCGCATCTAGTAATCCGATCTTAGGTTGATTTGAGCCTCGACAGTGCTGTATCATTCGCCGGACATATTCTTTGACAAGCTAGGTTTCTTAGACTGCGAAAGTTGATCTATCTATATCTAGTGAACTGTATCAGAACCTATTCATTCTAAAGCTTGATTTAATCACCTAGGGACATACCAAAAGTTTAGCGACTAGGTAGATTAACAAAGGAGCCGGAGCCTCGAAAGTGGAATGGTTTTATATTCGTGATCTGTGTTCTAGATGGTTCTTAATATCCCAATATCCCTAATCAATTCATCTATCATTGTTTCATTGATCATTGCTTGCTTCTCTGCGATAGCCCCTATGACCTAGCGCTTTTCCTTTATTGATTTACAACCTCGTTATACTTGCTAGTTCGGTTCACCATTACAACCTCAATCATACTTTTGTTTTAGCTTGATCCAAAATCCATAGTTTCAAAGTGTACTCAATAGCCAGTCCTTGTGTTCGATACCCATACTTCCGCGATCTGTGCACTTGCAGAGGTCTAGGAGTTTGGTAAAACCTGACTCCGCATCAAGTTTTTGGCGCCGTTGCCGGGGACTGCAGCAGTACCTTTGGAACTCGACTAGGATCTAGTCTAGAACCTTTTCCTGTTTTGCTTTTCTTTTGCTTTTGAATTTTTAGTTTTTGATTTCCTTTTCTTTGATTTTTGCTTTTGTTTTTGTTTTTCCCTTTTGATTTAACTTGTTTCCAAGACTCTTTTCAGGTGCATGACTAGGAGGTCCAACAAGGACAACCTAGTTGAACATCCAGAGATAGACAAGCTTGAGAAGCAACTTAGGAAGCAGAAAGCCCAAGAGATGGCCGACGAAGCAGCTCGCGCTCACGCCGCTGAAGTGGCGCGCGCTCAAGAAGAAGGAAGAGATCCTCCTCCTCCTCCTAATCCACAAGACCCTGCTGGAGATGTGAATGCACAACCCCAAGCGGAGCACCTACAATCGGAGACTATGACTCTGCCGATGCTTTCTTCATGGATAGAAACCCTATCCATCCACCACTTCCTGCAAGGAATGACTATGAGATCAAGCCTCAGATCATAGCATTGGTTAGACAGAACCAATTCAATGGACTTCCAGCTGAGCACCCTCTTGATCACATAGAAAACTTTGAAGAAATTTGCAGCACTACAAGATCCAATGGAGTCTCTGCTGACTACCTTGAAGTGCAAGCTCTTTTCATTCTCTCTTGGCGACAAAGCTTCAAGATGGTTGAAGTCTCTGCCAGCTCACTCCATTACCACTTGGGATGAGTACAAGGCTGCATTCATCAACCACTTCTACACCAAACAGAGATCAATTTCTGTAAGGAACAAGATCTCCAACTTTCGCCAAGCCAACAATGAATCTTTCTATGAGGCGCTAGACGATTCAAGGAGTACATTAGGGACTGCCCTAATCATGGTTTCAATGAGGGAAACCTATGGAACATCTTCTATCGTGGCATAGACCACAAGTACAAGCTTTCATTGGACACTGCAAGCAATGGAAACTTCATGACCAAGACTGTTGATGAAGCTAAGGTTCTTATTGAGAATCTTGCAGCTAGTGATTGTAACAACTGTCCTGATTATGACCGCTCAAGCCGCACCACTACTAGCTCCCCTGATTCTTTTCAAATGACTGAACTCAAGAACATGATGGCTCAAGTTCTTAAGGGACAGCTCAAGCATATCAATGCAATAGAAGGGATGAGTGATGCTAATGAAGACCCATCAAGAGAATGCATGGGAGATTTCTCTAATGAAGCCAATGAAGAAGATGTGAACTACATTGGAAACTATGGGAACAAGGGATACAATCCAAGCTATCGCCCAAACCCCAACATGTCTTATAGAAACCCCAATGTGGAGAATCCTCAAGACCAAGTGTATCCTCCAAGGTATCCACAACAACAAAGACCTCCTTACCAATCTCAAGGAAGTCAATTTCAGCCAAGGCAAGGATATGAGCAGAGATCATCATATCCGCCCAAGGAGCCATATGCTTCTTCACCAAATCAAGCTCCTCCAAACCAACAAGGTGGGAGATTTGAAGGAATCCTCCAACAGATCATGGATGGCCAGAAGAGAAACACTAAAGAGATGTATGAGAAGATGGACACTTTGTTCAGCAATCTCAACACCAAGTATGATGCTGTTGCCACTCATGTGAAGAAACTAGAGACTCAAGTCACTCAAACTATGGAAGCTGTTAAGAGACAGGAAGCTGAATCCAAGAAGTCCTTTTGCAACTCAGCCGCCATAGAAGAAAGATTTGAAGACCAAGTTCCAGAATGGATGCTTTCAAAACCTACTGTTGATTGCATGATTTGGCCTGAAGAGAATTACCCAGAGAGAGAGTCCAATCGAGCTAGAAAGAGAAGACTCTTCCCAAAGATTATCCCCAAGACAGATAACTCAGGAAAGTTTGTGTGCCTTGTATCATCAAAGGTAACATTCTTGAGCAATCTTTGTGTGACACAGGAGCCAATGTGAACATCATGTCTAAGAGGATAGCTGACAAGATAGGCCTCACCAAGATAGAGCCATCATCCATCTCCATCAACTATGCTGATTCATTCTCACAAACCCCTATGGCTTTGTGCCTAATGTGATGGTGCAGATTGGAAATTGCTCTATCCCTACTGATTTCCAGATTGTGGAAATGAGAGAGAGTAGCCATAGACCTCTCATATTTGGAACCCCTTTCCTGTCTACTGTGGGTGCCATATTTGATTTCCCCAATCAAAGAATCTCTTTCAACAAGGTGAACAAGGGTATGTTCTTCCCTATGTGTTCAACAAAGAACTCTTTTGTTGACATGGTCCAAGAGGAGAAAGCTACTTTGAAGCCACCCCAAGAAGGAGAAACTGAAGAAACAATCAAGGAAGATCCCATTCCTAAGCCCAAGCAGCTTGCCAAACAAGCAAGGAGTAAGACTAAGGCCCCTACACCAAAACCGCCCAAGGGATCAACCAAGATTGAAGATGAGGCCAAGCCAAGAAGAAGGTTAGAAAAGCCTAGGTCTGGCCGCAACATGAAGCTTCTATTCCCAAAGGAGCTTATTGATGAGAATCTAGAAGGATTCAAGGAGAAAGTGACAAGAACTCTAAAGCTTTTTCCTAAGGCAGTAGTGCCAAGGGACATTCATGGAGAGATTGTCTATCCAGCTGTGAATCACCCACCAGATACTCATTGCAAGGAGAAAAGACTTGGAGGATCAAAGATGCCTCTTGTCTCCATCTTCTCCTGAGTGCCAAGCCTTACAGTCAAGCTAAAGACTTAAAACAAGCGCTGCATGGGAGGCAACCCATGAGGTACTTTTACTTTTCTTTCTTTAATTTTCTTAGTTTTTGTTTTGCTTTTGTGTTTTCTTTGTTTTAAGATAGGATAGAAGGAGAAAAAGGTGTGAAAACACAATCCGCGCCAAAACATTGGCCGCGGACGCGCAAAGTGATTTTGGCCGAGCAATTCCAATCTGGCCGACCGTTACGGTCGAGCCGGGAAGGAACAAGCCGTGCTCGGCCGGATTATTCATCGCGCGACAGAAACGTTCGCGCGGCACACACGAACCGGGAAAGAACAGGCCGCGATCGGCCGATTTTCGTATCGGAACGGACCGACCGTGCGGTCGATCCGGGAAACAAACGCTCGGCCTCGGCCGAAATCTCTCGGCCATTCGAAATTTGGCCGACCAAATCGCTCGACCGCGACAAAATCCATCGGCCATCGGCCAAAATTTTCTCGGCCAAGGTAAGTCCCCTTTTCATTTAATTCAAACCGGTTTTAACCAATCCTAAACCAACTTAAACCGGTTTTCAATCAAAATTCGAATTTGAAAAGGAAAATTGATAGGATTAGATCTTATTTACTTCACCTTTCCCTTGAAAACAACAAGAACCTCTCTTTCTTCTCCAAAACCCTAAACTCCATTAGAGGAACTCTAAGAGTTTTGATTTCAAAACTTTTACTGTTCATAACTCTAAATTGGAATTTACTTGCTCTTGCAACCTTATTCACTTTTCAACACACAAGGTATGTCTTCTAACTCTAATCCTATGTTTATGCAAGATCGAAATTTCAATAAGTTTCATGTTTGGTCTAAACTCTTGTCTAGACTTGAAATTAGCATCCTTATTAGTCTTGTAATGAACTTGCTAGGTGGAACCTAGGTGGTTTAGAGTTAATTTGAAGTTTAATTTCACAATTGAATAGTTTTTCACAAAACTTATTGGGCATTCCAAACCCCTTATTCAAAGGTGAAATTGCTTAGGCATACTTCAATTCATTAGTTTATCTAGTGATTACTTGGATTAGAAACTCAATTTCTCTTGATTTGCTGAAAATTTTGATTTTAAGCACCATAATCTTGGGATGAACAGTAAAATCCGAAAATTAACTTTGAAAAAGTGAAATTTCTATTTTGTCTCTTTGATTCATGATTAAGCCTTGAGTTGTTCCATTATTCCATATCATTATTACAACTCAATTAGCTTATTCTTCTTTTGCATTAATCACAAACTCATATTTCTTCCCAAGAATTTGCTCTTGTAGGTACACAATGGCAAAGACAAAAGGAAATGAGAGTATGAAGAAGAAGAAGAACCCATTCATGGAACCACCAAAGAAACAAATCAAGCTAGGGAGTAGTAGCTCCAATGCAAGAGCAGCAATACCAACTTCACCACATTCCATTGATGCAAATCAAGAACATGTGGAGAGTCCAAGAAGAGGAGAAGATGATTGGGCACTTGTAACCTTTGTTGGAGAACAAAATCAAGACCCAAGAAAGTGTAAGAAGGCAATGGAGAAGGTGAACATCGAGCCATGTGTGAAGATGGACACCCAAACCCTTGATCTTCTCAAGATAAGAGATGATGTCACATGGTACATAAGGAAGCTAGGCTTGAGCAAGCTCTTCAAGCTAGAGTGTAGTGAGTACTCACAACTCACCAAGGAGTTCCTCTCCACAGTAGCTCTTGCCTTTCCCAACCACAATGGAGACCAACCAGCTGGTGATGGACTCCTACTCTTCAAGATAGGCGATGCCAATGGGCGCATCTCCATCTCAGCTCTATGCCAACTCTTTGGACTTCCCAATGAGACAGCACATGACTTCAAGGAGAATGATAAACCAGATATAAGTCCTTTTCTCTACTGCAAATTATCAGTGATGAAGATTGTAATATAAAGGATTCGAAATCCAGAGGACCAGCGTTACACTGTGAAACTACGAGATTTAAAACAGAGCTAAGACAAAGATGATTGGTTTTAGTAGCAGGTAACGAATGTAAACGATGATGTAATTCAATTAAACAGGACTAGACCAAGGCAATTCGCAGAGATTCACAGTTAACGACCGAACAACTATTCAGGGTACAGATGATGAACAGGTCTCGAACTCAAACATGAAAGTATGTCAATTCACTTTCGCGATAATGATAACTTTATCTAACAACCTAGATGTCTAAACTGTCGTTTGAATCTAGCAGTTGATGACAAGCAATAAACTCAGGTTCGATAAGTTCACGAATCGCCTCAGCATCAACTTTCGCAGGCTAAGGACGATTCGCTCACCACAGTTCGTTCTAACAACCTATAACACTTTTGATGAACAGGTAATCTGAGATCAGAGATCGAATGATCAGATCGATCTAAGCAGTAAGTGCAACAATGGCGAAGACAGTATAAAGCCCTATCTGTATTCGTCAAGTTAACACATGAATCCCTTTGAAAAGCCTAGATCTAGCAAGATGACTACTCAGACATGGTGAAACAGCAAACAATACTGAATAAAATGTCATTGAATCAAATAAGAAAATAGCAAACAAAGGGTTCAGAAATCTTCTCCAAACTGTGAATAACAGAGGTTTGATCTCTTCTCCCTCGGAAACAAAAAAACGGCGTAGCCTAAACAGTGGCTAAAGATAGGTCTAAATAGCTCCGGGGTCGACTTCGGTTCAATCCGGTTCGCTGTGGTTCGATCAAGTCGGTTTGCACCAAGTAGATCGAACGGCTGTGATATCATCTGACCGGGGATCGAACGGCTGAGATAGAACGGGATCGATCGAGCTGGCTTGCTCTGCATGGGATCGATCGAGCTTGCTTCTGCCATGGGATCGATCGAGTGCGTCCTCGACAGTGGGTTCGATCGAGCTGCCTCTCAATGCATGCATCGATCGACCCTGTACTGCGATGGGATCGATCGAGCTTGGTCTCGTGTACAGGTTCGGTCGACCTTGTGCGGATCGATCGAGCTCCTTCTGCTCCGTTTTGCCTGCTTTCTCCTGTTGGTCCATGTGACCAAAGCTCTCCCTGGAACGTCTTTAGACCTGAAAAGACTCGATAAAGACTAGAAAGACTCGATAAAACTCGTGAAAACAAGTGTTAGAATGCGTCAAATACGCAAGATATCAACTCCCCCGGACTTGGTCTTTTGCTTGCCCTCAAGCAAACATAAATTCCAAGAATAGAGAAGAAGTTTGAAAACGCGGGAACTCACAAATCATCAGCAACCATACCCCGAAGGATCATCAGTAGACCTCAAAGGACAAGGTTCGGTCAGTGCATAATCACTGTAGTCCCCTTGAAGTCTCGCATTCCTGATCCCGTGATGAACCTCCATCCTGCAGAAACTCAAGCTACACATAGGTTAACTCTCTACATTCATTAAGTTTTAAGGCGTGGACCTCTCATCAGGAACATCATACAGGGTCGACGGTGTTGGGTATTAAAAGGCCTGTGTTTGGTGAGGTTAAAGTGTTTAAGGGTTACCAGATACGCCGGAGGATGCATGATATCGCGCAAAACAGCAAGAGAGAATGGTTCTGTTGATAGCCACATTTCCCAACCACTTCACTCTTCAACTCCTTGTATGTTGGATTTATCCAGAACAGCTCTAACTCCCAATTCGCCTTGATCGGTGGTGTTCCTTGGAGGATTCGGTCGAGCTGACATTTTATTGAACCACTAGTTCCTTTCCTCAAATTTTTCTGATTTTTTTTTTTTTTTTTTTTTTTTGATGAGGGAACTAGTGTCAATGGCTCGTAAATGTTACCGTGTATTCGTGTTTCTCCAAGGAACGACCATCAGTTCGATCGATTCAGGCTCCATACTCCACCATCACTTCCCATTCTCAGTGTTGTAGATGAACACTCGTCTTGAATGTGGTTGGGAAGCTGTGTCGAACCTTTCTCTCCGACGTTTTTGCACATATCTGCATATATGACAAAAAGAACAGAGTGCATGAAGTCAGAAAGAAGGTAAGGCTCAAGGTGGGGTACCAACCAAAGATGGGCTGGCCACTCAGGATCAACAGAGAGTGGTAAAATGAATAAGAAGTCCTGAGTGTATGGTCCGTTTCCCTGCTATGACATTCCGAATGAGAGGTAATTGATGTCAGATTAGTGGTCCAATAGCATTAGAGTCAACCAAATGTTTCACCAAAATCTCTGCAAAACGAAAATTCCTGGGGGAAGTCTGACCAAAAGGGTAATCCAGCTTTTTACACATAACAAACCCTGCAAAATTGGTCACTAGATAGAAAGAATTCAAGAGCACAAATGGTTTCATCAGATAAGTTTATTCCCAACAAGTTTTTGACTCAATAAAACCTGACTCAAAGAAAACATCAAAATGACTCAAGGTGAAACAAAAAAACAAAAGAAAGAAAAAGACGTTAGTAAACACAAAGACCCTCCCCCGGACTTACTTCACACCGACCCGGTGTGAAAAGAAACCAAGGAGAGAGTTAAACAGACTCAATAAAAGAAAAAGAAAAGGGAAAATGGAATGATACAGTGGTGGTGGTCGGTCGAGTGACGTCAGGAGAGAGCATCAGCGGCGTCCGTAGATGAAGTCGTCGAGATCCTCCTGCATGCTCTCCTGCGTGTAAGTGGGGACGGTGGTGGGCGCAGCTCGCTCCGTGGTGTAAGGCACGTACTGGTCCGGCGGAGCTCTAGTCGGCGGTGTGTGGTCTGTCGGCGCGGTCGGTCTCGACGTGGAGCTGCACCTGATGGTCTCGCTGCCTGTGGCTCTCCAAAGCGCCTCTTCCGCTGCTGTCGCGGCTCGAAGGAAGAGTGTCGTGGTGGCTCAGGAGGCAGTGGTCGTCCGCCGGTGGTGTCGTGGTCGGGCTCGTCGTCGTCCTCAGAGGGGATCGCCTGGCGTGGACCGACTGCGGTCCTGTGGACACCTCCTGAAGCTGAGGCAGTACAGCTCATCTTGTCCTGCAAGGCACGGATCTGATCAGCCATCTTCTTCACCTTGCTCTTCAGCTTGTTGGTGATCTTGTCCTGCGCCTTGTTCCACCGCTGAAGAATGCTGATGTGCTGGTGAGCCGCCTTCAGCCGGCGGTCTGTCTGGCAGTGGTGGTGTGCCCGCAAAGTGGAAGTGGTCGAGCTCGTCCGTCTGCATGGTGTCGAGCTCGTGTGACTGGATCGCCGCGGTGTGTGGTCGCCTGAGGTGTGGCGTAGTCTCTGGCGGTCGAGCGATCTCCGTGTAGAGAGCAGACTGAGGTGGGTTGAACTCGACGTTGGTCCCACCTCTGATCGTCGTCCAGCTGGGGCTGGGGAGCAACATGCGGGAAACGCCGAGCTGGACGTGGGTGAACTGGTACAGGAGTCGGCTGGCGTCTGACGTCTTCTGCAAGAAGACGCTGTTCCTCAGGTACTCGAGATCGAGCCACTCGGGTGGCGCGACCTCGTCCTCTCTGTCAGGTGTGAAGCCGACGGCGCGTAGAAGAGGTGTGACCAAGCCACCCATCCGCAGTGTGCACTTGTGCCGGATGGTCCTGTTCCTCGAAGCCCAGTCCTGTAAGAGCGGAGCTGGCTAGCAAGGGCGACCGTGATGCCTCCGTGGGACCTGCTGCCTCGGAGCTCGGTCCCGTTGATCAGTCTCAACGGGATGCCTGTGAGTGCCACGTCGATCATGGCCATCTCTGTCTCTGTGACGTTCCCGGTGGCCTGTCGGGAAAAGAGCGTGTTGGCGATCGCCTTGTGGAAGTAGCGGACCGGCGGGCTCCTGATCTGAGCGGACTTCGCGCTTGAGGAGAAGTAATCCCCAAACGCGATCGTCCCCCAAAGTGAGGGCATCTCGTCGCGGTCGACGTCGAGGCCTAGACGGTTGCCGGATGGCAGAAAAAGAACTCGGTCGATGTCTCTGTATGAGAGGTAATGGCGTCGTCCGGTGGCCCAGAACGTGATGTACCCGTCACTGCCGTCGGGTGTGGTCTGCTCGGGTCGCAGGTCGTGCTCGAGGTGGCAAGGAAAAGGCAAGTCGCCTTCCGGTAAGACTCGTACTGCTGGAACATGAGTCGGTGGATCCCGAGGTTTTGGAACATCTCGTCGATGTCTCGTCGATGCGAAGCGTCTGCATCGTGCCTCTGTCGGCGTAACGTGTCCCGGCAAACGCATGTCGAGGAGGGTGCGGAAATGCTGCATCTCCTCCGCCGTGACAGCGTCCTCAGTCTCGTCGTCTCCTTATTCATATGACTAGAACCTACTCGATCGAAATTGCAGCAATATCGTCAAAAGCTGACTCTACTCGGCCGAATGCAAAACAAAAGGACACAAGTTCGATTGTACAAGAGAGCAAGCAGACGAGTTAGAAATAGCTACCTTCGCATGGTTAAATGAGTGAGAGAGATGATGCAGAAACAGGAAGTGAGGCGGTGAAGTGAAGTGATATGGATGGAGAGATGACGAAATCGAAGAGGTGAGTAATGTGAGGTGGATTCGATCGAAGGCTTAGAGTGCGATAGCCAACCGGCCGATTTGAATGGGAGATGAGGTGAATAGATTAGTGGTGGAGAGATGAAGCGAGAGGTATGAGAGAAGTGAGAGAGATGAAGGTGTGTGTGCGATGGAGAAGAGAGATAGTCGTGAGGTGAGGAAAGAGTGACGAGAGAGAGAGAGGAAGATAGAAAGTGGGTGTGGGTGATGAGAGGGTGAGTGAAGAGAGAGGGGGAGATAAGAAATCGTGTGGTGGGGGGAAGGAGAAATCACAAACCTGATCACTTACCTGTCGGGCGGGCGGGCGGGTCGGGTCGACCGGATGGGTGGGTTGACCCGGCGGTTTTCCTGTTTTTTTTTTTTTTTTCAAAACAAAGAAAACAAGATTAGCAGGAAAATCAAATTGAAAAGGAGTATGTACACTTACCAGTGGGTTGCCTCCCACCAAGCGCTTGGTTTAAGTCACTAGCTTGACTTGAATGCCTCTCAGGCAGGAGATGGATCTCTGAGAGGAATAGATTCCCTCTCTGTGATGTCGGTATCAGCAAGGTATGGCTTGAGGCGTTGACCGTTCACCACGAAGTGTCCACCAGACTTGTCCCATAGCTCAAAAGCTCCATATGGTCTGACTTCCTTGATATGACAAAGGGACCAGACCACCTTGATTTCAGCTTTCCAGGGGAACAACTTCAGCCTGGAGTTAAACAGCAGGACTTGATCTCCTTGAGAAAAGTTCCTTTTTAGGATCTTCTTGTCGTGGTAAGCTTTAGTCCGCTCCTTGTATATCTTCGAACTGTCATAGGCCAGGTGCCTAATCTCGTCAAGCTCGACCAACTGCATGTTCCTCCTTTCTGCCGCAGACTTCATGTCATAGTTCATCTGCTTCACTGCCCACGCAGCCTTGTACTCTAGCTCCACAGGTAGGTGACAGGCCTTGCCATAGACTAGGTTGAACGGTGTCGTACCAATAGGAGTCTTGTAGGCAGTTCGATAGGCCCAGAGTGCATCATCCAACTTTGCAGCCCAGTCCTTCCCAGTCGTGCCTGCAGTCTTCTGAAGGATGTTCTTGATCTCTCTGTTAGATAGCTCGACTTGGCCACTCGTCTGGGGATGATAAGGAGTCGCCACCTTGTGCTTCACCCCGTGCCTCTTCAACATATTATCGAAGGTCCTATTGATGAAATGGGAACCTCCATCACTGATAACAACTCTTGGCACACCAAATCGAGGGAAAATCACTGACTTGAACATCTTCATCACGACCTTTGCATCATTAGTGGGACTGGCCAAAGCCTCTACCCACTTAGACACATAGTCGACAGCCACCAAAATGTACAGGTTTCCATAGGAAGATGGGAAGGGTCCCATGAAGTCAACTCCCCACACGTCGAAAACCTCTACTTCCAGAATGAAGTTCTGTGGCATCTCGTTTCTCTTACTGATGTTCCCCTGTCTCTGGCAACATCACACTTAGACACGAATCTGTGAGCATCTCGGAACATAGTGGGCCACCAGTAGCCAGCTTGTAGCGCCTTGGACACAGTCTTGTACGTGGCGAAGTGTCCAGCATAGGAAGAGCTATGACAGTGGAACAAGATCCCAGGTATCTCCTCATCAGCTACACATCTCCTGTAGATTCCATCGGTGCAAAACGTTCTCTTGCCCAACCAATGTGTATACAGGGGGTCTGAAGTCAATGTTATCACCCCTGACTATTGTTGTAAGCTCAGGGTTGGGCAGGAGAAACTTGGAAGGTCCAACCAATGGATGTGTGAACTTGAATTGGAACCTCCCATCCAACTCCTTGTGCTCAATGAGGAGGTTGGTCTTGCAAAACTTGATGTCCATCCAACCTGGTTCAGTGGCTTTCTTATCAGTTGGGTTCACTCCAGCAGCACACAAGATAGGAGTGATGAGCCCTCCAACACTTAGGCGTCTCCCTTGTTGATATCGAGTGTTGTAGGCTGTGGTCTTGTAGGTGGTGAGGTGATCAAGGAAAGGCATCAAGTTTCCTGTGTTGGCTCTGTCTCCCCTGATCCTCTTGCCATCGCTTGTGCGTGAGAGGATGGGCTTGATTCCCATGTCAAGAAGCTTGAGTTCCCCCTCGTTAATGGTCCCTGTTGCCTTCCTTGCAAAGAAGGTGTTGGCAAGTGCCTTGTGCACATACCTCAAGACTGGGCTCCTGGTTTGAGCAGCCTTGGACCTTGAGGAAGAGTATACTCCATCAGCGATTGTAGCCCAAACCCTCTGGAGTTCACTTTCCTGGAAGTTCCACTCAATACCTTCTCCATAGTTGAACCCAAATAATATCTCCAACTTCCTAAAGGTCACCATTCTCTTCTCTCCCTTAGCCAAGAACGTGATCCATCCCAATCCTTGGTCCAAATCAGCTCTATCCTCCTCATCGTACATGTGGTACCTCATTGAAGCTAAGAACTCGCAAGTGAACTCCTTGTAGGATTCCATGTGATGAGAGAAAAACCTTCCCAAGTGCATGTTCTTGAGAACTAGCTCCACATCTTCAAAGATTCCAAGGGCCTTCATTGTGTCAACATGTGGGTACTTGGTCTCCATAAAGTCCATGGAGAAGAGGGCATTGTAGTGCTCTTGGTACATAGGGAGTTCTTCTTCCTCCTCTTGTGGCTCAACCTCCTCCATAGGTTCACCTTGGTTACTCTCTTGCTCACTCTCTTCAACCAACTGATTCACCTCTTCTCCTTCCTCTTCACTCTCAGTCTCATCACTTCCTTCTTCACTTGGAGAGCCATTTCCCTCCTCTTGAACAAGGTTCACTCCAATGTCAAACTCCCCTTGCTCACTCTCACTACTAATGGGGTCATTCCTCTTCTTGGTCCTCCTCTCCTCCCTCAATCTCTCGACCTCAGACTCTTCCTCAGAGTATACATACTCCTCTGCATCAGATTAAACCATGCTTATCAACATCAATCCCACTTCACAGTCACTCAAACAATGCATTCAAATCAGCAAATCCCTTTAACATTCATTAAGCAAAAACAGTGAACCAAAAACATGCAAGATCAATCAACTCATTTGGTTTCAAGGGTTTATGGGTTAAGAGACAAAGAGGGTCTCTTTTGTATGGTGGTTTAGTAACAGGGATCTCTCAAGAAAGTGGCTTTGCTTTGGCAGAAGGCTAAGTGTTAGAACCAAAGATGATGCAAGAACAGCAGCTCGAGCCGCCTAATCCTAACTCGATCGAGTTCAACACTTAGAGCTTTTTAGAACAAAATCCTAACTACCCTTTTTGGCATTTCGCCTTTGAAACTGAGGAGCTTTGCTCACTTTTCTTTTAAGAACTTCCTAGGGAGAGGCTTCTTGAGGTAACATCTAGCGGTTTGGGATTTTCTAAACACTTAGGGAACTTTTCTTTTCTTTTTGACACTTGAGGCTTTGCCTTCTTTTCTTTCTACTTAGAACCCTTTTTACTTCCTTTTTTAACTTCCCAAACCTTTACTAGACCCTTTTTAACACTGCCAACTCCCTGGACTTAACTAAACTCTTTTTCCTTTGGATTTTTCCCAACTTTTACCACTTTTCTGGTTTTTGACACCCAACTCGATCGAGCTCGAGTTGGCACCCCCAAACTTAGCCTGAAAACAATCCCAAGAGAACTAGACAACTAGAACTACTGCCCCTGCCGGTTTAAACACAACACCTTATGCTAAGCAAAGCCAAGAAAGGTTCTCACAATCGCACAAGAGATAATATGGGGTTTGAAATGAAAAGGCTTAGGTTTAAGGTGTGGTAACTGTCTCAAAGATGGAGATCAGCTATCTGGACAAGCAAGAGGGATATGAAAATAGGTAAAGAATGTCCAGATATGTATGTGGTAGCCATGAGTTGAAATCAAATGCAAGCATTGGTAATTAAAGATCAAGTTATGGTTCAAATAGATAGGGAAATGCATCAAATCACAGCAATGGTTGAATGAGATGTGCATGCAGTGATATGATCAAGATAAACATGGTTCTTGCTGCTCAATCAATCTCACCCTAATGCACAAGAGAATCTAAAAACAGGGCACTCAAGAAATCGCAAATGATGAACAAGTTTTCAAAGTCAAATCAACAATGCAAGTGAAAGATGCAATCCTAAACAATCTAAGAAATATGAATGCAAAAAGATGAAAATATTTTTGGATTTTTTGAAAATTTTATGATTTTTTTGGTTTTTCTATGCAAAAGAGAATGAAAAACTAAGAACAAAGAAAACAAGGTTAAATCATCTCTTGAACCCTCCCCCAAACTTAAATCACACAGTCCCTTGTGTGAGAGAAATTTAGTGAAAGATTCAAGAGGGCAAAACCAAGAAAAAAAAACAAATGCAAGAAATATGAAATGGTATGTACAAGGGTTGGTGTTTGATACCTCAGTGTCCCCCAAAGAACTGGGAGGCAAGGTCGTGGTCTGGAGAGGGCAGGCGGCCATCAGGGACGCTCCACTCGGCCGGGTTCACGTCGCTCGATCGAGCTTGCTCTTGGCTCGATCGAGTTGTGCCCGAGTTGGTTGCCTTTCCTTCCCTAAAACTGTTCCTGCAAGACTTAGCTGAGAAAAACGCAGAGATAAAAGATAAGAGAAATATGTACAAGATAGACATGGGAATTCCTCCCAAGTGAGCTTGTTTTAGGTCTCATAGCTTGACCTTACCTTTTAGGCCGGGGTTGGATCTTGAAGAGGAGTGATGATCTCCTCTGTGGGGGTCATTCCTAGGTAGGGCTTGCATCTATGCCCATTCACTGTGAATTCTTTCCCTTCTTGGTTGAGCAGAGTGAGTGACCCGTAGGGTAGAACCTCATGTATCTTGAATGGCCCTGACCACTTTGACCTCAATTTCCCGGGAAACAACACCAATTTGGAGTTAAACAAGAGCACACTGTCCCCAACCTTGAAGTCTTTTAGGCGAATCAGTTTGTCGTGGGCTGCCTTGTTCTCATCTTGTAGATCATGGAGTTCTCATAGGCATTCATTCTGATTTCCTCCAACTCAAACAAGTTCATTACCCTCCTTTCTTGTGCTGCCTTTATGTCAAAGTTCAGCATCTTTACTGCCCATAAAGCCTTGTATTCGACCTCCACAGGCAAGTGGCAATCCTTCCCATATAGCAAATTGAAAGGAGACCTTCCAATGGGGGTTTTGTAAGCTGTTCTATAAGCCCAAAGTGCTTCATCAAGTCTTGTTGACCAATCCTTTCTAGTGAAGCTCACAGTCTTCTCCAATATAGCCTTTAATCTGTCTGTTGGAGACCTCAACTTGCCCACTGGTTTGAGGGTGATAGGGCGTAGCAACCTTATGCTTGACTCCATAACTCTTCATCAACTTCTCAAACACCTTGTTGATGAAATGGGAACCTCCATCCGAAATAACAACCCTTGGGATGCCATATCTTGGAAAGATGATGGTTCTGAACAGTTTGATAACAACCTTAGCATCACAGGCTGGGCAGGGGATGGCTTCAATCCATTTGGACACATAGTCTACAGCAACCAAAATGTAGTTGTGCCCGTTTGAGGAGGGTTTGAAAGGTCCCATGAAGTCTATTCCCCATACATCAAAGATCTCAACTTCTAGAATTGGGTTCAGTGGCATTTCATCCCTCTTGGTGATCCCTCCTTTCCTTTGGCATGGATCACACTTGGCGATGTAACTTGCTGCATCCTTGAACAAGTAGGCCACCATAAACCAGATTGCAGAACCTTAGTAGCGGTTTTGAATGTGGCAAAGTGCCCTCCATAAGCAGACCCATGGCAATGCTCTAGAACTCCTTGTACATCTTCTTCAGCTATGCATCTCCTGTAAATGCTATCTGGTCCTCTCTTGTACAAGTAAGGTTCATCCCAATAGTAGTGCCTAGCATCCTTGAAGAACTTCTTCCTCTTGTAAGCATCGAAATTACTAGGGAATTCTCTAGATACCATGAAGTTCACTATATCAGCATACCATGGCAAATTCTCATCACGCAGAGCCTTAACTTCCTCCAGCCTGACTTTCTCATCAAAATTCTCTTTCAAGATCTTGATTGCCATAAGCTCTTCTTCAGGCATAGAATCATTGATGTGGACTATGTCTTCAACTCGCATCCTAGTGAAAGATTCAAGAGGCAAAAACCAAGAGAAATAAAAACAAATGCAAGAAATATGAAATGGTATGTACAATGGTTGGTGTTTGATACCTCAGTGCCCCCCAAAGATATGAGAGGCAAGATCGTGGTCAGGAGAGGGCAGGCGGCCGTCAGGGACGCTCCACTCGGCCGGGTTCACGTCGCTCGATCGAGCTTGCTCTTGGCTCGATCGAGTTGTGCCCCGAGTTGGTTGCCTTTCCTTCCCTAAAACTTGTTCCTGCAAGACTTAGCTGAGAAAAACGCAGAGATAAAAGATAAGAGAAATATGTACAAGATAGACATGGGAATTCCTCCCAAGTGAGCTTGTTTTAAGTCACATAGCTTGACCTTAAACCTTTTAGACCGGGGTTGGATCTTGAAGAGGAGTGATGATCTCCTCTGTGGGGGTCATTCCTAGGTAGGGCTTACATCTATGCCCATTTACTGTGAATTCTTTCCCTTCTTGGTTGAGCAGAGTGAGTGACCCGTAGGGTAGAACCTCATGTATCTTAAACGGCCCTGACCACTTTGACCTCAATTTCCCAGGAAACAACACCAATTTGGAGTTAAACAAGAGCACACTGTCCCCAACCTTGAAGTCTTTTAGGCGAATCAGTTTGTCGTGGGCTGCCTAGTTCTCATCTTGTAGATCATGGAGTTCTCATAGGCATTCATTCTGATTTCCTCCAACTCAAACAAGTTCATTACCCTCCTTTCTTGTGCTGCCTTTATGTCAAAGTTCAGCATTTTTACTGCCCATAAAGCCTTGTATTCGACCTCCACAGGCAAGTGGCAATCCTTCCCAAATAGCAAATTGAAAGGAGACCTTCCAATGGGGGTTTTGTAAGCTGTTCTATAAGCCCAAAGTGCTTCATCAAGTCTTGTTGACCAATCCTTTCTAGTGAAGCTCACAGTCTTCTCCAATATAGCTTTAATATGTCTGTTGGAGACCTCAACTTGCCCACTAGTTTGAGGGTGATAGGGCGTAGCAACCTTATGCTTGACTCTATAACTCTTCATCAACTTCTCAAACACCTTGTTGATGAAGTGGGAACCTCCATCCGAAATAACAACCCTTGGGATGCCATATCTTGGAAAGATGATGGTTCTGAACAGTTTGATAACAACCTTAGCATCACAGGCTGGGCAGGGGATGGCTTCAATCCATTTGGACACATAGTCTACGGCAACCAAAATGTAGTTGTGCCCGTTTGAGGAGGGTTTGAAAGGCCCCATGAAGTCTATTCCCCATACATCAAAGATCTCAACTTCTAGAATTGGGTTCAGTGGCATTTCATCCCTCTTGGTGATCCCTCCTTTCCTTTGGCATGCATCACACTTGGCGATGTAACTTGCTGCATCCTTGAACAGAGTAGGCCACCATAAACCAGATTGCAGAACCTTAGTAGCGGTTTTGAATGTGGCAAAGTGCCCTCCATAAGCAGACCCATGGCATTGCTCAAGAACTCCTTGTACATCTTCTTCAGCTATGCATCTCCTGTAAATGCTATCTGGTCCTCTCTTGTACAAGTAAGGTTCATCCCAATAGTAGTGCCTAGCATCCTTGAAGAACTTCTTCCTCTTGTAAGCATCGAAATTACTAGGGAATTCTCTAGATACCATGAAGTTCACTATATCAGCATACCATGGCAAATTCTCATCACGCAGAGCCTTAACTTCCTCCAGCCTGACTTTCTCATCAAAATTCTCTTTCAAGATCTTGATTGCCATAAGCTCTTCTTCAGGCATAGAATCATTGATGTGGACTATGTCTTCAACTCGCATCCTAGTGAAAGATTCAAGAGGCAAAAACCAAGAGAAATAAAAACAAATGCAAGAAATATGAAATGGTATGTACAATGGTTGGTGTTTGATACCTCAGTGCCCCCCAAAGATATGAGAGGCAAGATCGTGGTCAGGAGAGGGCAGGCGGCCGTCAGGGACGCTCCACTCGGCCGGGTTCACGTCGCTCGATCGAGCTTGCTCTTGGCTCGATCGAGTTGTGCCCCGAGTTGGTTGCCTTTCCTTCCCTAAAACTTGTTCCTGCAAGACTTAGCTGAGAAAAACGCAGAGATAAAAGATAAGAGAAATATGTACAAGATAGACATGGGAATTCCTCCCAAGTGAGCTTGTTTTAAGTCACATAGCTTGACCTTAAACCTTTTAGACCGGGGTTGGATCTTGAAGAGGAGTGATGATCTCCTCTGTGGGGGTCATTCCTAGGTAGGGCTTACATCTATGCCCATTTACTGTGAATTCTTTCCCTTCTTGGTTGAGCAGAGTGAGTGACCCGTAGGGTAGAACCTCATGTATCTTAAACGGCCCTGACCACTTTGACCTCAATTTCCCAGGAAACAACACCAATTTGGAGTTAAACAAGAGCACACTGTCCCCAACCTTGAAGTCTTTTAGGCGAATCAGTTTGTCGTGGGCTGCCTAGTTCTCATCTTGTAGATCATGGAGTTCTCATAGGCATTCATTCTGATTTCCTCCAACTCAAACAAGTTCATTACCCTCCTTTCTTGTGCTGCCTTTATGTCAAAGTTCAGCATTTTTACTGCCCATAAAGCCTTGTATTCGACCTCCACAGGCAAGTGGCAATCCTTCCCAAATAGCAAATTGAAAGGAGACCTTCCAATGGGGGTTTTGTAAGCTGTTCTATAAGCCCAAAGTGCTTCATCAAGTCTTGTTGACCAATCCTTTCTAGTGAAGCTCACAGTCTTCTCCAATATAGCTTTAATATGTCTGTTGGAGACCTCAACTTGCCCACTAGTTTGAGGGTGATAGGGCGTAGCAACCTTATGCTTGACTCTATAACTCTTCATCAACTTCTCAAACACCTTGTTGATGAAGTGGGAACCTCCATCCGAAATAACAACCCTTGGGATGCCATATCTTGGAAAGATGATGGTTCTGAACAGTTTGATAACAACCTTAGCATCACAGGCTGGGCAGGGGATGGCTTCAATCCATTTGGACACATAGTCTACGGCAACCAAAATGTAGTTGTGCCCGTTTGAGGAGGGTTTGAAAGGCCCCATGAAGTCTATTCCCCATACATCAAAGATCTCAACTTCTAGAATTGGGTTCAGTGGCATTTCATCCCTCTTGGTGATCCCTCCTTTCCTTTGGCATGCATCACACTTGGCGATGTAACTTGCTGCATCCTTGAACAGAGTAGGCCACCATAAACCAGATTGCAGAACCTTAGTAGCGGTTTTGAATGTGGCAAAGTGCCCTCCATAAGCAGACCCATGGCATTGCTCAAGAACTCCTTGTACATCTTCTTCAGCTATGCATCTCCTGTAAATGCTATCTGGTCCTCTCTTGTACAAGTAAGGTTCATCCCAATAGTAGTGCCTAGCATCCTTGAAGAACTTCTTCCTCTTGTAAGCATCGAAATTACTAGGGAATTCTCTAGATACCATGAAGTTCACTATATCAGCATACCATGGCAAATTCTCATCACGCAGAGCCTTAACTTCCTCCAGCCTGACTTTCTCATCAAAATTCTCTTTCAAGATCTTGATTGCCATAAGCTCTTCTTCAGGCATAGAATCATTGATGTGGACTATGTCTTCAACTCGCATCCTAGTGAAAGATTCAAGAGGCAAAAACCAAGAGAAATAAAAACAAATGCAAGAAATATGAAATGGTATGTACAATGGTTGGTGTTTGATACCTCAGTGCCCCCCAAAGATATGAGAGGCAAGATCGTGGTCAGGAGAGGGCAGGCGGCCGTCAGGGACGCTCCACTCGGCCGGGTTCACGTCGCTCGATCGAGCTTGCTCTTGGCTCGATCGAGTTGTGCCCCGAGTTGGTTGCCTTTCCTTCCCTAAAACTTGTTCCTGCAAGACTTAGCTGAGAAAAACGCAGAGATAAAAGATAAGAGAAATATGTACAAGATAGACATGGGAATTCCTCCCAAGTGAGCTTGTTTTAAGTCACATAGCTTGACCTTAAACCTTTTAGACCGGGGTTGGATCTTGAAGAGGAGTGATGATCTCCTCTGTGGGGGTCATTCCTAGGTAGGGCTTACATCTATGCCCATTTACTGTGAATTCTTTCCCTTCTTGGTTGAGCAGAGTGAGTGACCCGTAGGGTAGAACCTCATGTATCTTAAACGGCCCTGACCACTTTGACCTCAATTTCCCAGGAAACAACACCAATTTGGAGTTAAACAAGAGCACACTGTCCCCAACCTTGAAGTCTTTTAGGCGAATCAGTTTGTCGTGGGCTGCCTAGTTCTCATCTTGTAGATCATGGAGTTCTCATAGGCATTCATTCTGATTTCCTCCAACTCAAACAAGTTCATTACCCTCCTTTCTTGTGCTGCCTTTATGTCAAAGTTCAGCATTTTTACTGCCCATAAAGCCTTGTATTCGACCTCCACAGGCAAGTGGCAATCCTTCCCAAATAGCAAATTGAAAGGAGACCTTCCAATGGGGGTTTTGTAAGCTGTTCTATAAGCCCAAAGTGCTTCATCAAGTCTTGTTGACCAATCCTTTCTAGTGAAGCTCACAGTCTTCTCCAATATAGCTTTAATATGTCTGTTGGAGACCTCAACTTGCCCACTAGTTTGAGGGTGATAGGGCGTAGCAACCTTATGCTTGACTCTATAACTCTTCATCAACTTCTCAAACACCTTGTTGATGAAGTGGGAACCTCCATCCGAAATAACAACCCTTGGGATGCCATATCTTGGAAAGATGATGGTTCTGAACAGTTTGATAACAACCTTAGCATCACAGGCTGGGCAGGGGATGGCTTCAATCCATTTGGACACATAGTCTACGGCAACCAAAATGTAGTTGTGCCCGTTTGAGGAGGGTTTGAAAGGCCCCATGAAGTCTATTCCCCATACATCAAAGATCTCAACTTCTAGAATTGGGTTCAGTGGCATTTCATCCCTCTTGGTGATCCCTCCTTTCCTTTGGCATGCATCACACTTGGCGATGTAACTTGCTGCATCCTTGAACAGAGTAGGCCACCATAAACCAGATTGCAGAACCTTAGTAGCGGTTTTGAATGTGGCAAAGTGCCCTCCATAAGCAGACCCATGGCATTGCTCAAGAACTCCTTGTACATCTTCTTCAGCTATGCATCTCCTGTAAATGCTATCTGGTCCTCTCTTGTACAAGTAAGGTTCATCCCAATAGTAGTGCCTAGCATCCTTGAAGAACTTCTTCCTCTTGTAAGCATCGAAATTACTAGGGAATTCTCTAGATACCATGAAGTTCACTATATCAGCATACCATGGCAAATTCTCATCACGCAGAGCCTTAACTTCCTCCAGCCTGACTTTCTCATCAAAATTCTCTTTCAAGATCTTGATTGCCATAAGCTCTTCTTCAGGCATAGAATCATTGATGTGGACTATGTCTTCAACTCGCATCCTAGTGAAAGATTCAAGAGGCAAAAACCAAGAGAAATAAAAACAAATGCAAGAAATATGAAATGGTATGTACAATGGTTGGTGTTTGATACCTCAGTGCCCCCCAAAGATATGAGAGGCAAGATCGTGGTCAGGAGAGGGCAGGCGGCCGTCAGGGACGCTCCACTCGGCCGGGTTCACGTCGCTCGATCGAGCTTGCTCTTGGCTCGATCGAGTTGTGCCCCGAGTTGGTTGCCTTTCCTTCCCTAACCAAGTTCCTGCAAGACTTAACTAAGAAAAACGCAGAGATTAAAAAAGTAAAACAATATGTACAAGATAGACATGGGAATTCCTCCCAAGTGAGCTTGTTTTAAGTCACATAGCTTGACCTTAAACCTTTTAGACCGGGGTTGGATCTTGAAGAGGAGTGATGATCTCCTCTGTGGGGGTCATTCCTAGGTAGGGCTTGCATCTATGCCCATTTACTGTGAATTCTTTCCCCTCTTGGTTGAGCAGAGTGAGTGACCCGTAGGGTAGAACCTCATGTATCTTAAACGGCCCTGACCACTTTGACCTCAATTTCCCAGGAAACAACACCAATTTGGAGTTAAACAAGAGCACACTGTCCCCAACCTTGAAGTCTTTTAGGCGAATCAGTTTGTCGTGGGCTGCCTAGTTCTCATCTTGTAGATCATGGAGTTCTCATAGGCATTCATTCTGATTTCCTCCAACTCAAACAAGTTCATTACCCTCCTTTCTTGTGCTGCCTTTATGTCAAAGTTCAGCATTTTTACTGCCCATAAAGCCTTGTATTCGACCTCCACAGGCAAGTGGCAATCCTTCCCAAATAGCAAATTGAAAGGAGACCTTCCAATGGGGGTTTTGTAAGCTGTTCTATAAGCCCAAAGTGCTTCATCAAGTCTTGTTGACCAATCCTTTCTAGTGAAGCTCACAGTCTTCTCCAATATAGCTTTAATATGTCTGTTGGAGACCTCAACTTGCCCACTAGTTTGAGGGTGATAGGGCGTAGCAACCTTATGCTTGACTCTATAACTCTTCATCAACTTCTCAAACACCTTGTTGATGAAGTGGGAACCTCCATCCGAAATAACAACCCTTGGGATGCCATATCTTGGAAAGATGATGGTTCTGAACAGTTTGATAACAACCTTAGCATCACAGGCTGGGCAGGGGATGGCTTCAATCCATTTGGACACATAGTCTACGGCAACCAAAATGTAGTTGTGCCCGTTTGAGGAGGGTTTGAAAGGCCCCATGAAGTCTATTCCCCATACATCAAAGATCTCAACTTCTAGAATTGGGTTCAGTGGCATTTCATCCCTCTTGGTGATCCCTCCTTTCCTTTGGCATGCATCACACTTGGCGATGTAACTTGCTGCATCCTTGAACAGAGTAGGCCACCATAAACCAGATTGCAGAACCTTAGTAGCGGTTTTGAATGTGGCAAAGTGCCCTCCATAAGCAGACCCATGGCATTGCTCAAGAACTCCCTGTACATCCTCTTCAGCTATGCATCTCCTGTAAATGCTATTTGGTCCTCTCTTGTACAAGTAAGGTTCATCCCAATAGTAGTGCCTAGCATCCTTGAAGAACTTCTTCCTCTTGTAAGCATCGAAATTACTAGGGAATTCTCTAGATACCATGAAGTTCACTATATCAGCATACCATGGCAAATTCTCATCACGCAGAGCCTTAACTTCCTCCAGCCTGACTTTCTCATCAAAATTCTCTTTCAAGATCTTGATTGCCATAAGCTCTTCTTCAGGCATAGAATCATTGATGTGGACTATGTCTTCAACTCGCATCCTAGTGAAAGATTCAAGAGGCAAAAACCAAGAGAAATAAAAACAAATGCAAGAAATATGAAATGGTATGTACAATGGTTGGTGTTTGATACCTCAGTGCCCCCCAAAGATATGAGAGGCAAGATCGTGGTCAGGAGAGGGCAGGCGGCCGTCAGGGACGCTCCACTCGGCCGGGTTCACGTCGCTCGATCGAGCTTGCTCTTGGCTCGATCGAGTTGTGCCCCGAGTTGGTTGCCTTTCCTTCCCTAAAACTTGTTCCTGCAAGACTTAGCTGAGAAAAACGCAGAGATAAAAGATAAGAGAAATATGTACAAGATAGACATGGGAATTCCTCCCAAGTGAGCTTGTTTTAAGTCACATAGCTTGACCTTAAACCTTTTAGACCGGGGTTGGATCTTGAAGAGGAGTGATGATCTCCTCTGTGGGGGTCATTCCTAGGTAGGGCTTACATCTATGCCCATTTACTGTGAATTCTTTCCCTTCTTGGTTGAGCAGAGTGAGTGACCCGTAGGGTAGAACCTCATGTATCTTAAACGGCCCTGACCACTTTGACCTCAATTTCCCAGGAAACAACACCAATTTGGAGTTAAACAAGAGCACACTGTCCCCAACCTTGAAGTCTTTTAGGCGAATCAGTTTGTCGTGGGCTGCCTAGTTCTCATCTTGTAGATCATGGAGTTCTCATAGGCATTCATTCTGATTTCCTCCAACTCAAACAAGTTCATTACCCTCCTTTCTTGTGCTGCCTTTATGTCAAAGTTCAGCATTTTTACTGCCCATAAAGCCTTGTATTCGACCTCCACAGGCAAGTGGCAATCCTTCCCAAATAGCAAATTGAAAGGAGACCTTCCAATGGGGGTTTTGTAAGCTGTTCTATAAGCCCAAAGTGCTTCATCAAGTCTTGTTGACCAATCCTTTCTAGTGAAGCTCACAGTCTTCTCCAATATAGCTTTAATATGTCTGTTGGAGACCTCAACTTGCCCACTAGTTTGAGGGTGATAGGGCGTAGCAACCTTATGCTTGACTCTATAACTCTTCATCAACTTCTCAAACACCTTGTTGATGAAGTGGGAACCTCCATCCGAAATAACAACCCTTGGGATGCCATATCTTGGAAAGATGATGGTTCTGAACAGTTTGATAACAACCTTAGCATCACAGGCTGGGCAGGGGATGGCTTCAATCCATTTGGACACATAGTCTACGGCAACCAAAATGTAGTTGTGCCCGTTTGAGGAGGGTTTGAAAGGCCCCATGAAGTCTATTCCCCATACATCAAAGATCTCAACTTCTAGAATTGGGTTCAGTGGCATTTCATCCCTCTTGGTGATCCCTCCTTTCCTTTGGCATGCATCACACTTGGCGATGTAACTTGCTGCATCCTTGAACAGAGTAGGCCACCATAAACCAGATTGCAGAACCTTAGTAGCGGTTTTGAATGTGGCAAAGTGCCCTCCATAAGCAGACCCATGGCATTGCTCAAGAACTCCTTGTACATCTTCTTCAGCTATGCATCTCCTGTAAATGCTATCTGGTCCTCTCTTGTACAAGTAAGGTTCATCCCAATAGTAGTGCCTAGCATCCTTGAAGAACTTCTTCCTCTTGTAAGCATCGAAATTACTAGGGAATTCTCTAGATACCATGAAGTTCACTATATCAGCATACCATGGCAAATTCTCATCACGCAGAGCCTTAACTTCCTCCAGCCTGACTTTCTCATCAAAATTCTCTTTCAAGATCTTGATTGCCATAAGCTCTTCTTCAGGCATAGAATCATTGATGTGGACTATGTCTTCAACTCGCATCCTAGTGAAAGATTCAAGAGGCAAAAACCAAGAGAAATAAAAACAAATGCAAGAAATATGAAATGGTATGTACAATGGTTGGTGTTTGATACCTCAGTGCCCCCCAAAGATATGAGAGGCAAGATCGTGGTCAGGAGAGGGCAGGCGGCCGTCAGGGACGCTCCACTCGGCCGGGTTCACATCGCTCGATCGAGCTTGCTCTTGGCTCGATCGAGTTGTGCCCCGAGTTGGTTGCCTTTCCTTCCCTAAAACTTGTTCCTGCAAGACTTAGCTGAGAAAAACGCAGAGATAAAAGATAAGAGAAATATGTACAAGATAGACATGGGAATTCCTCCCAAGTGAGCTTGTTTTAAGTCACATAGCTTGACCTTAAACCTTTTAGACCGGGGTTGGATCTTGAAGAGGAGTGATGATCTCCTCTGTGGGGGTCATTCCTAGGTAGGGCTTACATCTATGCCCATTTACTGTGAATTCTTTCCCTTCTTGGTTGAGCAGAGTGAGTGACCCGTAGGGTAGAACCTCATGTATCTTAAACGGCCCTGACCACTTTGACCTCAATTTCCCAGGAAACAACACCAATTTGGAGTTAAACAAGAGCACACTGTCCCCAACCTTGAAGTCTTTTAGGCGAATCAGTTTGTCGTGGGCTGCCTAGTTCTCATCTTGTAGATCATGGAGTTCTCATAGGCATTCATTCTGATTTCCTCCAACTCAAACAAGTTCATTACCCTCCTTTCTTGTGCTGCCTTTATGTCAAAGTTCAGCATTTTTACTGCCCATAAAGCCTTGTATTCGACCTCCACAGGCAAGTGGCAATCCTTCCCAAATAGCAAATTGAAAGGAGACCTTCCAATGGGGGTTTTGTAAGCTGTTCTATAAGCCCAAAGTGCTTCATCAAGTCTTGTTGACCAATCCTTTCTAGTGAAGCTCACAGTCTTCTCCAATATAGCTTTAATATGTCTGTTGGAGACCTCAACTTGCCCACTAGTTTGAGGGTGATAGGGCGTAGCAACCTTATGCTTGACTCTATAACTCGTCATCAACTTCTCAAACACCTTGTTGATGAAGTGGGAACCTCCATCCGAAATAACAACCCTTGGGATGCCATATCTTGGAAAGATGATGGTTCTGAACAGTTTGATAACAACCTTAGCATCACAGGCTGGGCAGGGGATGGCTTCAATCCATTTGGACACATAGTCCACAGCAACCAAAATGTAGTTGTGCCCGTTGTTGATGCTCGCCGTCGTGACTTACAGTTTCAAGTGGGTGACAAGGTTTGGGCTGTCCTTACTAAAGACCGTTTTCCACCGAATACGTATAACAAGTTGAAAGCACGGAAGATTGGTCCTCTCGAAGTTCTTGAGAAGATAAATAACAATGCTTATCGCCTCCGACTTCCTCCTCACATGAACACGGCAGACGTTTTCAACGTCAAGTTGAACCACTCCATGCTACAACACTTGGTGTCCCACTCCTTGAGCTCCTCTTCAGTTGAACCACCATCACCATTGGGGATGAAGACGGCATGTTTCTTACAGTACTCGATCACTTTGGAGAGGATATCTCCTGTGATGTTGGCGAGAGGAATTCCGTTTTTAACGCAGTTGTCTTTGATCATATGAGCTAGCGTCTGAGACTGAAGGGCCACCGCTTCTTCCACCTCGAAGATCTCACCATCTAAGCTTTTCAGAACAATCTTCTTCGTCGACATTATTAGTCTTTTTTTGTGGAGATTGGTGATGAAAGTTAGGAAGTGAGGATGCTTAATGGTGAATGATAAAAAGTAAAGAACATCTCCATTTTATAATCTTATGATTTTCAGAGGCGGTGTATTTTATTCAAAGCTTAATTTTGATTAGGAAATATGAAAATATATTTCTTTTCTCAAAAAAAAAAGAAGATATCTAATTGTTTTAAGAAAAAATCTTATCATTTAAAGGAAGATGCGTGGAGCGTCGACACATTAGATTGTCTTGACATGTTAGATTTTTATGTGATTAAGTCATATCATGACATTTTTCTTGTTAGTTTAGATCGTGATATGTCTCAATGTAAAAATAGTTTTTTTTTTAATTTTATAAATAGGAAACAAAACTCAATTAATAATAATAATAGAAAATCAAATAGAGAAATACAAAGAGGAAGATTGCATTGACACGTTAGATTGCTTATTTTTATGACTCCTTTTAAGAAAACAAAATCAAATAATAGTAATAGAAAATCAAATAGAGAAATAGAAAGAGGAAGATTGTGTTGACACGTTTTGTCATTGTTAGTTCAGTGTAAAAAAATATTATTTATAATTTTATAAATAGGAAAAAAATCAAATAATAGTAATAGAAAATCAAATAGAGAAATAAAAAGAGGAAGATTGTCTTGACATGTTTGATTACAGATTTTCATTATTCATCTTAGGAAAAAAAAATCAAATAATAGTAACAGAAAATCAAATAGAGAAATAGAAAGATGAAGATTGTGTTAGCACAATAGGTTGCGTTGACACTGACACATTATAACATTTGTCATTGTTAGTTTACATCGTCATATGCTTCAATGTAAAAAAAAATATTATTTCTAGTTTTGTAAATAGGATAAAAAATCTCAAGTAATAGTAACAGAAAATCAAATAGGAAAATAGAAAAAGGAATTTTGTAGAAATATTACCAAAAAATTGAATTGTGAATACTATTCTATGTTAACAAAATATTTTTAAATCGATTTGTATTACTAATTTAGTATGTTAAGGAAGTGAAATGTAAAGTTATTGAGCACGTTAATTAAGGAAGTTATTGGAGTTCTTCAATTCGTGTTGTTATTAACGGAATGGCCGATGGTAATGATGTTCAAGCTTTATGTGAGGGTGAAAATAGTAACTTGGATGGTAAATGTTGTGTGAGACGTGTCTTCTATCAAAAAGTCACCAATTAACAAAATATTTTCTTTTTTTATTTCTCCCCTGAAACCTATCGTGCCATCTACAACTGAGAGCACCAAAGTGGAGAAGAATGTCATGAAGAAAGGCGGAAAAATCGAGCAGTAGAAGAAGAACAGGTTCATCCAAATATTTAAGTCCGGTTTGGGCCGGTTAGGGGCTTGGAAACCCTGCTTTTCGTCTTAAAACTGTGCAGCCGCCTAGTTCTTCTCGGTTTTTGTCGTTTAGTGAAGGAGAAACTAGAGGAGAAGAGATTTCAAGGCGATTTGGTGTTTGGAGGTTTGATCTGAGGTTGTTCGTCGTCAATTCGGAACCTGAGTCGGTGTTGGTGGCTGCTGCGTGGTGGTTTCGGCGGTGTTCTTCGTCAATGTTCATCTTTTCCAGTGTTTTTCCCTTTTTCTCAATCCAAATCCGAGGTGAGTGCGTGACTATAGGCTCGTGGATGCTAGGATTGTTGTTCTGTGCTTGATTGTGTGTTGTTTTGTGGTCATATTGATGTGTGATTTCGTTGATTTGAGTTAATTGGTTGATTTCATTGTTTTGGGTAGAGTTCATCGTTCGTTCTCTGCGATTTGCAGCTCGGTGTCGGTGACACCAAGTTTGGTGTTCGTCGACACAGGAGGGTGGTGTCGTTCGACACAGGCCGGTTCAGCCGGTTTGATCGAATTTAATTGGTTTAATTGAATTTAATCGGTTAATCAAATCTAATTGAGTTAATCGAATTGTAATGGTTTAATTTGCGCAAATACTAGGAAAATAAACAATATTAAATAATTCGCTTAATAATGGTGGTGCCTCTCTAAGTATTTATGAAATACTTATGCAACTCTTTCGCAATGTATTGCATGTAAAAAGTTTAAGTGATCGCGGAATCAAGGCCGAAGAAGGGGATGATAGAATGTTTTATTATTTGCTTTTGTTTGACTTTCTAGCACCTTTAGGTTGCTAGATTTATTTATTGTTATTTGTTTCCGCTGAATATTGTTATTTGATTTAATTATTTATTTAAATTATTTTAAAAGACTTTTGCTAGAATTGTTTAATATATATATTTTAAAAGTTTGGTTGTTTCATTTTGACTTTCTAAGACGACATCACTATTTTGACTCATTGGTGGTAATCATCTAGCTCCATATATTTTTCTATCCATATGGATATATATTCAAAGAGTGTTCATGAGATTTCATACAGATAGAGTTGTCAACCCAACCTGAAACCCGCAGGTCAAGTCCATATGAATATTTGCGGGGTGGGCTTGGGCCCATAAAAAATATTCGCAAAATTAGTGGACTAGCGGGCTAAGCCCATATGGGCATTGGTTTCAGGCGAGTTAACCCGCTGCGGTTTTGCGAGTTTCGTGGCAAACCGATTAAAAATCCCTTTCCAACATTTCTTCGACTTCAGTTCTTCTTTCTCAACTGAATCCTCACGAAACGTGCATGATTCAGCACAGATCGAAGCAGTTGAGCTCTACTTGATAGATCCTTTCAATTCTCCCTTTATCAACTTTTTCCTCATGGTCTCTCAAATTTTCTCTTTTTTTTTTTTTTTTTTTTTTTTTTTTTTTTTTTTTTTTTTTTTAGTTCATTTGGTTTTTCCAGATTAATTAAGTCAAATCACAATTGTAAAACCAATCAACTTTCGTTGCAGAGATTATCTATGTCTAAACTTAGAATCCCAAATTTCTTTGCAAATTCAACAATTCAAACAAGCATTAATGATCAGGTTTGATAAGTTCACAAAATCTCTAAACCAAATTCCTTTGCAGATAGATATTTTGCTCATCTAAGATAGTTCAGGAAATCAATAACACTTTCGTGTCTACCAATTAACCTAAGATCAGATTCTAGGTCGCGAAGCTAGAATAAGCAATAAACACAATCCAGATGAAGAACTCTAATGATTATCCTAAGCAATTGCAATTCTTCTTCAACCTTTGAAAAACCCTAAACCTAACAAGGAATCTACTCAGACATGGTGATTGAGACAAACATCATGAATAAATAGATTGCATAAAAGAAATAAGAATAGAGATAAAGGAGTTCAAAATCTTCTCTGAAGGAGTTTGATCTATCTCTCCAAAGCTCTGCTACAAATCTCTCTCTAAGTCTCAATAGAATAAAAGTATGATAAAAGTATTAGCCTAACAATGGCTTTAAAAACCTAAAAAATGTCTAAAACACGAATTGGGCCTTCTTGTAAATAAGTGAACTTCTGGGCCAAAACTGCAGATCTTCAAAAGCTCAGGATTTTCGTCTTCTGGGAAAAGTTGTGTCGACCGACACAGATGAATTGCGTCGTCGACGCAAGACTCTGGATCGTCTGTTTGTCTTGTTTTCCAGCATGAACTATGCTCCAAATAGCTCCATATAACTCCAATTAAGCTCCAAAACATGACCTTAGACCTGTAAAGACTCAAAAAGACCCAAAAATACCAAAAAGACTCTATATACAAGACTTATATCATGGCAAAAACCCATAAAAACCATGATATATCAACTCCCCAGACTTAGCCTTTGCTTGCCCTCAAGCAAAACAAATAACTAAACTGTGAAAGAGGTTTGAAAACTAGGCAGTTCAAAGAGTCAATGCATTGTGAGTTTGTTCTACTTTAAAAACTTTAGCCACATTCATCACAACGTGAAGTAGATTCCAACTCAACCTATATATGCATTCAAATCAATCATTCCTTTTAACATTCAATTAAAGAGTAACCATGGATCAAGTTCATGCAATCAAGTGAAATCATTTAGCTAGGGACAAGGTTAAGAGACAAATATGGTCTCTTTTCATCCAGGTTTAAGCAGTCAAACAAGGGATCTCTCAAGAAGTGAATAATGCTAAGGGTAAAGATCAATTTATGCATACAAAGATAAATTTTCATCTACTCAAGTAACTTCAAATTTCCACAATACAATCCCATAAATGGTCCTAAGCTACCCTTTAAAGCACTTTCTCTTCATAAACACTCATCATACATTCACTTTCTTCTCCTCTTGAACCCAAGGAGATTGATTCAACTTCTGATTTCCAAGTGGTTTTGGTCTAAAAACTATGCTTTGGCTCTGTTTTTTTTTTTTTTTCATTTTTTTTTTTGTTTTTAACTGAGAGTCAAAGACATAAAAACAATATATACAAACCAAATAACCACTTCTAAACAATTTCTTCTCCTTAGTTCTCTTTTCCATTAAGCACAAATCCAAATCCCAAATCCCTAACCTAGTCTAACTCAAAAAGGGTGAGCTAGTTCTACATGAAAACATATCCTTGTCGTCTAAACCCAACACTTTTTGCTAAACTCATTCAAAATAGGCCTCACAACACTCACTAGACATTGGCTTGAAAGAAGGTTTGGTTCAGGGTGGGATTAACTGTCTCAAAAATAGGAGATCAGCTACTTGGACTAACAAGATTGGTAAAAAGGAATAAGAGAGCCCAAGTATGTATATGGTATCCATGAAAACACTTTCAATGCATGAACATGATAATTGCAAGTCAGATTATGGTTCTAATAAGTAAGGAATGGTGTCAAATCAAAGCATGTGTCAGTCAAGTTGTGAATACCAATCATGGATGCTACAATGAATTCCAAGTGTGGTGCTATCTTAACTTCAAACTCACTCTAATGCATCAAACAACTTTGAACAACCAACTAATTTTGACTCAATAAAACATTTTCAAAAACTAAAAACCAAGACTCAAACATGTACACAATATCAGTAACTACCTCCCCCAGACTTGAACAACACTGTCCCCAGTGTTATCTAGTCTGAAATTGGTTAAAAAAAATAAAAACTGACTCAATTAAGAAAAACAGAAAACTACCTTCTGCAGATACTCGTGTCGGTCGACACAGGACTGTGTCGAGTCCACCTTTGCTGTGTCGACCTGTGTCGAGGTTGCTCGATCGTCCGTCTCGAAGTTGCGTCGGGCGACGCAGATTGCATCGGTCGACGATGCAAATTTTTTTTTTTTTTTTTTTTTTTCAGAAAACAAAAAAAAAATTAGTGAAACCAAAACGAAAATCACAAAGGAATTTCACCTACAAGTGGGTTGCCTCCCACTAAGCGCTTGTTTTCAGTCATTAGCTTGACTGTGTGAGGGTTCAGACATCTGGTGGATCAGATAGCGACAACAAGCCTCTGAGAAGAATGTCTCCTCATCCATGGTGGTGTATAAGCATTAGGTGCATGAGAACCCCAAGGAAGTGAGGAATAGCAGCAGGGTGGGATGTGAGTTTGGGGGAACACTTCTTTTTCCTGCAGAATCATCAAAAGAAACACCAAGCTTTCTACGAGAATCTCGTTGCTTGCATAAGTGTGAAACAGCTTTTACACCTTTTAAATTGTTAATGATGATATCAGGGGGTTTGGAATTAAGTTCAGAAGTGCATACCTTTGCTTTATGGAGGCTTTTGTGGGCTATGAGGTGATCACAACTAAGTCTCCACTCCTATCTTCCAGCTTGTTCACTTGCTCACTAGTATCCACCTCCTTGACATACCCAGCAGTAATGTCATGTGAATGCTCTCTGATTGGTCTTCATCCTTAGAAATCTCCACAGAAAAACTCTGACCATCAATAGTGGATCTCCTCCTTAACTTGTCCATGTCAAAGTTCATGACAAATCACCCAAATCAAGCTCTATCTTCCCTTTCTTCACATCAATGATAGCACCAGCTGTAGCTAAGAAGGATCTTCCCAAGATAAGAGGATCTATAGGTTCTTCAGTATATTCCAAAACCACAAAGTCTGTGGGAATCAAGTGACCTTCAATTTTAGTGGAACATCTCTAAGACACCTTGTGGGATTCTTTTAGATCGATCAGCCATGATAAGAGAGATCCTAGTTGGCTTGAAATCAGTCATTCCAAGTCTAGCAGCAACAGAGAGAGGCATCAAGTTTACACTGGAACCTAGATCACAAAGAGAATGAGGAAACCTGCTTGTTGAGATAGAGCAATCTAGCACAAAGTTTCCTGGATCAGTAGCTTCTCTGGAATCTTGTTCTGAATCATAGCACTGACTTGTTCAGAGACCATCACCTTCTTCTTCTTTGGGACTGTTGCTCAAGAGAACATCACTAATGTCTTTGGTAAGCAATGCTCCTTCCTCAGGACTCACACCATTCACAACCATTCTCTTAACATACCTCCTTAGTGCAGTGAAAGATTGACTGCATCAACTAATGGTATCTCAATCATCAGCTTGTCTATCATGGCCTTGACTTTTGCATCTTCAATCTCTTGTTTAGACTTCCTAGACCTCTTGGAAAAGGAATTTTAGGCTTATAGACTCTTTCTGCACCTGATTTGGACGTTTCTGTAAGATCTGGTGCAGTCTGGAATTTGCAGAAATTTGCCTGAAAATCCGAAATTTGCAGAATTTCTTCTGGCAGATCTGGTGTCGACCGACACAGGGGAATGGTGTCGCCGACACTATTGAGTGTCGACCGACACAGTTCAGTGGTGTCGCCCGACACAACTTCTGCAGTGCGAAAATCAGTTGCAGTCTTCTCAAAATCCACGAAATTGGCTCCAGTTTCCACCATAATAGCATGACATGAATGTTTGGGATTGATATTGGTCTTTCCAGGAAGAAAACCCTTGTCTTTTGATAGACTCAGCACTTTGAGCAACTTGAACATCCAACTTCTTCACATGTGTGCTCAAAGCTTCAAATTTCCCATTCAAGTCTTGGTACATGGCATCCATCCTTCCATTAAAGCTCACAGTCATGTTTTGCTGACCTTCTAGAAGTTGCTTAAGCATTGACTTCATCTCATTGTCTTGTTCAGGAGGTTTCTGGTAAGAAGAAGAACCATAAGGCTTATGATAAGAGGAACCATATCCTTGTTGATTGGCCCATCTCTGTCCTTGAAACCCAGCTCCATTGATGAAATTAACATCTTCTTCATCCACATTTCAACCTCAGCAGCAAATTGAACTGATTTCTTTCCCACAAGAAGGCCATGCACAGAATCTAACTTAGCCTTAACCTCAGCAATTTGACTTCTATCCATGTTTCCACCAAGCTTCTTCCTCTCTAAATCAGCATTCTTGGTACTATTGCTAGATGCCAAGTTCTCAATAAGTTGGTAAGCCTGATGTGGATACCTGGTGTTGAAATTCCCATTGCTCGCAGCATCGAGAGCCATCTGATACTGCCAATCAATGCCTCTAAAGAAGGTGCCCAGTAGCTGAATCTCACTAAACCATGGTGTGGACAGTCTCTCTGATATGACCTGAATCGAACCCAAGCCGCCTTGAACGCTTCAGTAGGTCCTTGACGAAATGTAGAGATGTTGTTTCCTTGCCTCCTCAGACATTGCATCATCATAGAAATTGTTTAGAAAGGCTTTCTTAGTATCCTCCCAGTTTGTCAAAGATCCTGGTTGCAACTGCTTTAGCCA